GATGTTGAGTAATGTATAGCTGGTAATCTTGGGTTACCATGAGTTCAGTATTTATATGTACTTACATGTGTGCACATAGCTCTGTATATATAGACAGGTTGTGTAGATAATTGCTAACACTAAGTTATTGTTGATGATGTGTATAGATTTGTAAATGAATTTTAACGTTCACCTTTTAAAAAAGTGAATTTGTGATACTTAATACTTTATAGATATCAAAATGAAATAAACTATGTGTTGAAAAGCATATTACACTGTTGATTTTTCTGGTTAAAACAATGAAATAATCGTTTCAAGGAAGTTCATTGAACCATGTTTCTAGACATAAAGCCATAAATCTGTTGTATTCTATACACATTTTAAGTCTGAGAGTTTATACCGGAGGATTCTCTCTATAGCTTCCCTGCCTTTGAGCTTGTGTGATGATGAGGCATCTGTTCATCCAAGTCAATAAACACATTGAAACTATCATGATCAGAAAATGTGTTATGTCACAATCTCTGGTCCATACCCTAAACGTCAAGAGTTCATGAAAACTTTCTCTTACTCAAACTCAGATTCTATGCTCAGGCCTCATTCTTTGTTCAAGTGATGAATTAATGAAAAAAATCCATTTTCTCAATGATTTGTAAGAAGTTTGGGAAGACTTAAATTAAAGTTGATATACTTTGCAATGTTTACACTTGACATCTTGACTGTCACATGATTTAAAGGAGATCCAAGAAAGTCAGTTTAATCACAATCCATGCTTGAGCATAAGAACAGCTTCATGAACACGGGCACATGAATGGGTCAATTATCTAGTTATTGTACAGATAACCTGACCATATCTTCTAAAGGACAACCTTTTATAATTAAACTTCACATATATTTGGCTTTACCTGATGGTGTGTCATAACACTCTCAGGGTCATACCATAAATGTCAAGGTCAGAGTTAGGGGTAAAAGGTCAAAGTCAATGGCTTGTTCAGACCATATATATATATTAATGAAACTTTACAGATATGTTTATCGTTACCAGACAGACTGTTGCTTAATACACTCGGGTTCATACCTAAAGTTCAAGGCTAGGATAATTGGTCAAAGGTCAAATCATTGTAAAATTTGTCCACACCATATCTTCTAAATGGTGATACCTATTCATTCTCCATACCAAACTTCACGGATATGTTAACCATGACCAGTGTGTCAAATAACACTCAAAAGTCGGTATTCTCAAGGTCAAGGTCAACAGTCAAATCATTGTGAATTTTGTCTAAAAAGTTGTCAAAAACAATTATAAATGGCTTCAAAATTTGTATAACACTTCGTAGATGTGTGTTTCATAGTCAGACTTTGTGGCAGTTTTATGGAACACTCTCCAAAGTGTACATGAAAGTTCAAGGTCGTGATATGTGGCAAGGGTACTCTTCTGTGGGCTTGTTAGCTCACTCTGTTTTTAGGTCACCTGAGACAAAGTCTCAAGTGACCTATTGCGATCGCCTTTTGTCCGTCGTCGTCCGTCGTCCGTCGTTCGTCGTGCGTCCGTAAACAATTTACATTTTCGACTTCTTCTCCAAAACCACTGAACCAATTTCAATGAAATTTTGCAGGAACCTTCCATGGACAAAGGTCAACAAAAAGAGTTGCCGGTTTAGTCCTAAGCCCCCAGGGGCCTGAGGGGCGGGGCCAAAAAGGGTCAAATTGACTAAAATTTCAAAAATCTTCTTCTCAAGACCCAGATATGGTAGAATCAAATACTCTTCATATATGGAAGGTTCTTAAGGTGCTTTACCAAAATTGTGAATTTCTTGACCCTGGGGGCTCACATTTTCCCCTGGGGAGGGGGTAAACTTTACTATAGCTTATATAGTGAAATCACATTTTGGACCAACATTTGTTTAATTTCCATTGAAAGTAATTCAATTTAGGTAAGCATTATCAGTGTTAGGTAGCAGTTTGATAGTATGCACATATCAGCCCTGACTGACCCCCCGGGGCTGATGGGTGGGGCCAAAAAGGGTCGAATTGACTGAAATTTCAAAAATCTTCTTCTCAAGACCCAGATATGGTAGAATCAAATACTCTTCATAGATGGAAGGGTCTTAAGGTGCTTTACCAAAATTGTGAATTTCTTGACCCTGGGGTCTCACGTTTCCCCCTGGGGAGGGGGTAAACTTTACTATAGTTTATATAGGGAAATCACATTTTGGACCAACATTTGTTTAATTTCCATTGGAAGTAATTCAATTTGGGTTAGCATTATCAGTATTAGGTAGCAGTTTGATAGTATGCACCTATGAGCCCTGACTGACCCCCAGGGGCTGATGGGTGGGGCCAAAAAGGGTTGAATTGACTGAAATTTCAAAAATCTTCTTCTCAAGACCCAGATATGGTAGAATCAAATACTCTTCATAGATGGAAGGGTCTTAAGGTGCTTTACCGAAATTGTGAATTTCTTGACCCTGGGGTCTCACGTTTCCCCCTGGGGAGGGGGTAAACTTTACTATAGTTTATATAGGGAAATCACATTTTGGACCAACATTTGTTTAATTTCCATTGGAAGTAATTCAATTTGGGTTAGCATTATCAGTATTAGGTAGCAGTTTGATAGTATGCACCTATGAGCCCTGACTGACCCCCAGGGGCTGATGGGTGGGGCCAAAAAGGGTTGAATTGACTGAAATTTCAAAAATCTTCTTCTCAAGACCCAGATATGGTAGAATCAAATACTCTTCATAGATGGAAGGGTCTTAAGGTGCTTTACCGAAATTGTGAATTTCTTGACCCTGGGGTCTCACGTTTCCCCCTGGGGAGGGGGTAAACTTTACTATAGTTTATATAGGGAAATCACATTTTGGACCAACATTTGTTTAATTTCCATTGGAAGTAATTCAATTTAGGTTAGCATTATCAGTATTAGGTAGCAGTTTGATAGTATGCACATATCAGCCCTGACTGACCCCCCGGGGCTGATGGGTGGGGCCAAAAAGGGTTGAATTGACTGAAATTTCCAATTTTTTTTTCTCAAGACCCAGATATGGTAGAATCAAATACTCTTCATAGATGGAAGGGTCTTAAGGTGCTTTACAAAAATTGTGAATTTCCTGACCCTGGGGTCTCACATTTTCCCCTGGGGAGGGGGTAAACTTAACTATAGTTTATATAGGGAAATCACATTTTGGGGGGGCGGCAAAATTTATTATGGTTTATAATGGCAAATGATACTTTGAATATTACATTTTGAGCCAGCCCTACCCCCAAGGGCTGTAGGGTGGGGCCCAAAGGAGTCAGTGTGCTAAAATTTCTTCATTTTCCTTGTTTAGAATCAGTGGTGCTAGTTTCAAATACTTTTTAGTCTTAAATCTGTATGCTAGATATTGATTAAGGTGGTTTTATTGTTTTTTTGTCACTTTGAAAAATAATTCTGTTCATGTTAAAAACAAAATCAACTCTCTGTATAAATATATCAGGTGACCGTTAAGGCCCATGGGCCTCTTGTTTAAGTACACTGGTGCAATTAACAGAGAAGTGTAAACAGGTGGCTTTATTCTTTGACTGATTTACACAAGCTTTCACTCTAGACAGGTTTCACATTGGCCATACATTGATTTCATGACCTTACACATTACTAGATGGTTTTTGGGCTTAAGTTTTCTAAAACAGGGTGCAAAATGATCCTTGTTTATTTTTCATAATTCATTAACTTTTTCTAAACAAATCACTATCTTGAGTTATCAACAAAAACCTTTGCATTTACAAATAGACAGTGGGACACTATAGTGGCTGCCTTAATCCTCAGATTATTGTGTGATGACGGAGTTCGCTCTTTTGATGTAACCTGACAGCCAGCAGTATGGTTATATAGGTATATCCAGTGTTTATTTGACCATAGTGACAACAAAAGTACTTCTAAAAACCGTTACTGTGAATATACTCGATCTGAAATTTACACAATACAATGGCAGATTTAAATATCTGCAGAAACTTTGTGCTACATTATGCCGTTAAAGACGAAGCCGCTACCTCTGGTGAACTGACTTGGTCTGATGAACTTAGGCATTTACTAACTACATAACGGGTAACGGTTATCTGTACATTGAGAATTAAATCTGCATAAATTAGTTATGAATCTATAAGACTGAAAGACCTTGATAATGTAATCAACTTCACTATTCCTACATATCTGAAAATTAATCTTCTAAGGTCAAAGTATACAGACGTCTAAAACCTTATCTGGTGTTCATTTCTTACAAGTACACATATACTAGAATGTATTAGTAAGCCTTGCTACATTAGTCTGGCCGTGTTTAAAGGTCCCGACGATATCAATGATATAGGTTATATACACTACATGTATATTGATAGTTGGGTATGTGGGGTACCTGGTACAGTGCCAAACAGCTTACCTGTACAGCTTTATAGAAAAGACAAGATAACTTATTCACTATATAAACCCTATACAACATAAAGTGTTCATAAGATTTCATAACCATGTGCTGTAAATAAGGTAATATATCTTAAAGGAGTAAATTAATCCTCTTAGTCCTTAAATCTACAGATTATACATAATCCTCTTAGTCCTTAAAGCTACAGATTATACAGTTTTACACGCCACCCTATAATAATAAAGCATTAATGTATATTATCCAATCACTGTCTTACAAAACTTAAACAGTTTACCTGTACTAAAACTAAATAACAAATCAAACAGATTATTATACATCCACTAATTTTAGTTATATACTAATTGATGGACACAATCCATTTTATGACTTGTCTATACAAGTGAACTTTAAACTTGGTGAGGCCTATTATAAGAATTTAAATTCCATTTTGTTCAAATGAACAGATTATAATTCAAGAATAAAATGACAAAAGTCTGTGGCATTATATTGGTCTAGAGGTTTAAGTCAACTGTAAAACCTTTAAAATTAAATCCCTCACAGAGGTATGAAGATAGTCTATCATACTGGCACAGTGTACATATATATATACATACTGACTGGCTGTAAGTGTAACACCTGACGCGACATTCCTGGGGTCAGGAACAACACAGATGATAGACATTACACGGCAGGAGACAGATATTGTAAGGCAGGAGACCATTGTTTTACCACCGTATCTGGCAGGTGACAATGTGAAACTCTTGAAGGGTAAACATGTGTGTAAATGTGTGGGTCTGTTTGTGACGACCCAAGTTGTTCCTAGGTACCCGGCCTTGGGTAACCTGATCACACACTCGAGTAGGATCATCGACTGTGTCGGTATGGATAGTTACTCCGACTGTCTATGGATGTATAGTTCTAGGCCCAGGACCTCAATAAAGATACAGACTCTAAGTATTTAATAATTCACACCCATGAAGAGGTGATACACATATCAAGCTAAAACGTATACAATGTTCTGAATTGTATACCAACAAAATGTTAAATTCTCAACAGAAAAGGACAGTTCAAAACATCATCAATATTCTGTCAGTAACACTATCTGACATGTCTGTATTTCAATGAATAATACATATGTACACACAGTAGAAGTGAAGAGTGCACTTACAATAACTAATACAAAAGTGACATGCTTCCTTCGAGTTTGGAGTGTAGGAGTGTGATTTAAAAAGTAAAATGGGCTGCCAGCTTGGAAGCGAGGTTCAAAATTCCAATTTTGAAACAAGTCCTCGCCAGGAACAGAAAGTGAAGGAAATAAACCGGGAAGTTATTCCAGTGTTCCTCCGGGAGCAGTCCACACATATGCATGTGGAAAAGACTCAATTCCTTCACACACATAACATCCAATCTCTGTGTGCGACAGATGACGGTGTGTGGATTGCCTCCTCTGACAGTACAGAGTTAGTAGAGATGGACAATGACGGGGAGAGGGTGCGCAGTGTAGAGATGGTCAGTGGCATCGAAGGCATCAGTGTGAGTCCCCTCAGCGGCCGTTTATGGATGTGCTGTGATGATTCTACAATCAGAGAAATGACACTGCCCGAATCTGCTGATTCTCCACCAGAACCAGCACAGATACGATTTGAAACAGGCTGCATGTGTATCTGTGTGACGTACAACGAATATATCGTAATTGGTACCTATATGGATGTTACAATTTATTCACAAGATGGAGAAGTTATTTTATCTTCGCAGAATGTTCCAGGCTCTCATATTGTAAAACCGTACAAAATTGCAGCATGTAAAAAGACACGTCGGATTGCTGTAGCAGATTGGGATGATGCAGTGTGTGGAGGGGAAGACAATCCAAATGTGGCCGTCTTTAATGACCGCTTAGAATTTCTACACAGATATAATGGCGTAACAAAATTGCTTAAAAAGAGAAAAAGTGAGACGACCCGGTTTCTACCCTATGACCTGTGCTTTGACCCCCAGGGTCTGCTGCTAGTGGTGGACTATAAGATAAGGTGTATCAATGTGATTGACACGGAGGGCCGCTTCCTCCGCCTCCTCCTGGCCCTACCATCTAGTACAATGTCACCCATCTGTCTCAGTTTCCATGACAACCAGCTCTGGGTTGGCTGTTCCGACAAATCTCTCAAGGTGTACAAGTATGAGGACCTTGCTGAAAACTGAAAGGTATCCAATATAGACTCAAAGAGAATTGATAGTGTTTTAAATATTATTTCAGTGAGAGATTCACAGGGAATGAGGGTTATATGCGTCGTGTCAGAGATTCAGAGAGAATGAACATAATGTTATATATGTTGTGTCCTAAGATTCAGACAATGGATTGAATATGTTATACATGTTATGTTTCGAGATCCAGAAGATGAAAAATGGTATACCTGTTGGGTCACAAGATTCAGATAGAATAGCTGACAACGTGTTGTACATCCTGAACTGTCCACTTTGAGAGTAATGAGATCACAGATGTTTGTAACCCCTCCTGACCCAAGTTTTGATACGCGGGATATACTATTTCCTTATTTACAGTTGTTGGAAACAAATACCCCTGAGCTAATTTTAATTCCCCTCCTTACTGAAACTTGAACAAGCTAATTAACACCAGCACCCACCTCCCCAACTTTAATACCATTTCTGACTCAAAGTTGGCTACTTGTAAGCTAAACCTTCTAACTCCACCCTTGAGGTGCCAATTACCCTTCCTGAATCAAACTTTTATAGGAAGAATATCCCCCCTAACACAAACTTTGATGAACCAAATAGGTACCCTTCTAACTCAAACTTGAAAAAGCTCAAATTCCTCCCACTCCACTCAACCTCCAACTTTAGCTCTGAAGAGTAAAATACCACTCCTAACTCTGGTGAGTCAAATACTTTTTAACTAAATATTGAGGAGTCCACTTTACTTCTAATTTGGTCACTATCTACATTGTTTCCGTTATCACAATACATGAACACTCCAACAATACCTTTACTAAAATTCTTATCCTGAGATTTATATAATTCCTTAACAAAAGGAATGCATTACTTAGTTGAAGAATAATTTTAACATGTTTTGAAATAACTGTTTTTCCTTTGAGATATGAACAGTTAACTCATTCACCCCTGAAATTCCATAATGAACTATTCCAACCATGAATTGGAAGAGCTCAAATGTGTCTTCAGGGGTGAATGAGTTAATAGGATATTACTGTATCGAGTATCTATATGCTGAAGTGCTGTCTGTTACAGGAGTAAGACCTGTTATTATAGGTGTTTCTTATCAAGCTTTTACGGTATTACTGTCCTTTCAGCTTTCAGCCTCATCCTAATGTGTCCTCTATATTTCACCTCAGAATTATTTTTTGTATGTTTTTGTCAGGGTAATTTTGTAGCAGTATTGTTCATTTTAAGGATCCCTGTCCCACTGCACTGCCTAATTTTAAGGATCCCTGTCCCACTGCACTGTCGTTTTTACTGTGTACAGTAATCTCCCTTTAACTTCCGTTTGGATATGACTGTAGCACATTTGGGCTTGTACACTTCTGTTGATAGCCAATTGGTGTAACTATCTACAGTCTATCGATCAAATCTAGTTTTAGCTAGCCCCGCTGAAATTTTTCGACACTCAGAACACACCTGTTGATTATGTTTTGTTCATTTTATCATTTTTGCATCCTGCAAGGTATGGTTTTACTTTTGTCTACAGTATTGTAATGTAGGCAATATACATAACAATATCATAGTCATGCAGGGAAAAGTCATTTCCAATACTTTGTTACAGTTCAGTGGTTCAGGGATCCTTATAAGCACCCAGGGTGTTTAATGTAGCAGATACGGTAAATTAAACAGTCAGTTTATATTTATTATAGAATGCCATATCAAAGTTTATTTATGTTAAATATTTATATTAGAAATGCCATATCAAAGCTACCAAAAGCTGCTTTTGAATGCTGCAGTGTTTATAACTGTTTGGTTGTATGGATGTTACTTATACATGTATATTTGATGTCAACATATTGTTTTGTCAAGTTGTGTTCTTTTTTAAAATCAGATATTATACTCATTACTGATAACAACAGCTACCTCATAGATTATGTAGGAAGGTGTAAAATGGTGCCAAAATATCATTGTCCAATGTAAAAGTCAGGTGACAAATGAAAACATATACACCTAATTCAACATTATAAGCTCCTCTGGCCTTGCAAACACTTCTCGTATATTTTTGACAAACCAACATGGAAGCACTAACCTAAGTATACAACTGTTATTGCAATGATTCAACCTATTTACAAGATTTGAAAGTTATAACTTTCTCAACAATAATTTGATCATTTTTCTTTTTTAGCTCACAATTATCAATTTATTTTGGTTGGTTCATAGAACATTTATGAGCTGAATATGATTATATTTTCAAACCAACCTTTCTCAAAATTGCATGGATGTTTATAGATTGAACCAAGTCTTACCAGAGACATATGTACTACAGAGTGGCTTTATACGTCTCTGGTTTTACAGATATACAATTTACAAATCATTCAAATGTCACCCTGTCAGCAACTAACAATTTGATTCTATTTTTTTGTGAAGAATACTATATACATGTATTTCCATTTTTATGAAGATTAAATAAACTATGCAGTGTTACAGATAGCCCCTGGTTATTGGTTTTGAGGAGATACCAGTTCCCCAATACAGAGGGGCATTCAGACAACTGTAAGCATCCACATTAATATCCATAACTTCCATGTGAAATCTAGATCATGGTTAAGTTATATAAAGGAAACAAAGACAGTGTTTACACATACTGCACATATACATGTACAACACAGCACTAGAATTTCTGTTTGTTCCAAAGATTTATTCATAGAAAATTGTAATAAATTTGTATAACATATATATATAGAACATGCAGGGCTAGAGTATAAGAAAAATCATGTATTCCACAATCTACATAGATTCTAACTTGGTACCTTTGAATCTAAGTCATTTCCAATTTAATAGCTTTACTATATTTTAAGAATCTATGTCTTCAATTCAGTATTTAGCTTATAGTGTTATCAAAATATATATTATATACATTATATTAGAATACTGTCAGATTTTCCTCTGGTCTCAACATTAGCCATTTCACATTTTGACAGGTAGAGATCCGATTCCCAAACCAGACATCTATCTCTCAAAAATCTGATGTTGGGACCAGAGGAAACTCTGGCTAATGTTGGGACCAGAGGAAACTCTGGCTTATGTTGGGACCAGAGGAAACTCTGGCTAATGAAAACACAGATTCATAAGTATTTGTCAGAGTAGAACCAAATTTAGTGAAAGTCAGTGTTGGTATTCCCACAAGGTATGCTGACTAGACATCTCATATTCCAACTAGACATCTCATATTCCCATCTTATATCATATATTTCATCTAGACATCTCATATTCCCATCTGATATCATATATTCCAACCAGACATCTCATATTCCCATCTGATATCATATATTTCCACTACACATATTGAATCCCAAATAGAGACCTGGTTTTCCCAGTAGATATTTCGTATTCCCACTAGATATCTGGTTTTCCCACTAGATATCTAGTATTCCAGCTATAGATGTCTGGTTTTCCCACTAGATATCTTGTTTTCCCACTAGATTCCTTGTTTTCCTGGTACACTGGAATATCATTAAATCCTAGCCCTGACACATAGTGATCACTACTTCAACTGAATCTGCATTAATCTCAATCTACATCATACAACACTGAAATTTATTTTTGATCCAATAAACAGAACCAAAACTAGCATGATTCTTGTGTGCTTATAACAAATATGTATTGCACATCCTCAACACACACTTTTATACATGATCACAATCTTACTTTTTGAATCAGCATGAACACGTCATTTTTACAATTCTTCAATGGGTAATCTCATTTCTCTCTGTGTAGATGTGGGCCATCTACTGAACTTAACTGAAGTGAACCAGTCACAAATATATATTTCCAGTGCATGTAATACCAAAGAACTTGCGTTCATAGAGTTATGAATGCAATTTGTTCAGCATCATTTTGAAGCTTCTCCTTCCGCCTAGAATAACATGAGACAACCATTAGTACTAAACATTTTTGTGAGGTAAGGCTGTTTCAGGAATCTCATCTGCACTGATGACACAAACCCCTCAATATCGAAAATATAAGGGAACATTTACATTTACGTTAATAATAACTAAACATTAAGAATGTTAATATAAGGATTGAACAGTATTTTACTGGAATTTACAGATGTGAACCATTTACACTTTTTTTATAAAATAAGGCTGCACCAGTACAATATCTATACACACTAACAAAGAAACATGCAGACAGAAATGGTAGCCTGATTCTCCTAAACTATACAGGAACAGGTAATCTACTAAATTTCACATAGGAGAATATAAGTATGGGATACCGTATCAGTATAATGCTCAAGGAGCAGCATACATGTAAAGTAAAGTTTTACTTCACCCAAACTGTACTAGAGTACAACATCTACCAGACTTCACTGGAATAGTCCTGTCACACAGGAGTACAACATCTACCAGACTTCACTGGAATAGTCGTGTCACACAGGAGTACAACATCTACCAGACTTCACTGGAATAGTCATGTCACACAGGAGTACAACATCTACCAGACTTCACTGGAATAATCCTGTCACACAAGGGTACGATATCTAATAAACTTCTTAGGTAAGGAGTGACCCAGTCACACAGGAGTACAACATCTACCAGAGTTCACTGGAATAGTCCAGTCACACAGGGGTACAATATCTAATAGACTTCTTAGGTAAGGAGTGACCCAGTCACAGGAGTACAACATCTACCAGACTTCACTGGAATAATCCTGTCACACAAGGGTACGATATCTAATAGACTTCTTGGGTAAGGAGTGACCCAGTCACACAGGAGTACAACATCTACCAGACTTCACTGGAATAGTCCTGTCACACAGGAGTACAACATCTACCAGACTTCACTGGAATAGTCCAGTCACAAAGGGGTACAACATCTACCATACTAGACTTCCTAGGAGTGATCAAGTCACACACGATTAAAACACAGAAATAGGACTTTTACTGAACTTTCTTGTTGTTCTTTCCATCCAGTATTTAAGACAACTATATTGTTTTGACATTCCACCATTCCAACAGGTACACAGATGACACAGAGTATGAGATACCACAGACAAAGTGTGATGCATGGTGAGAAAGGGGCCATAACTTTGTATATATGAAACCCAATCTTAGTATGCAACATTACCCCCCACCCCCCAAGAGGTACTCATATACAAAACTGAAGGTGAAATAGTACTTGAGACATTCTCAGGACAACGTGAAGCACTGACAGACTGATGGATGGAGTTAAAATCTATAGTCCCGACCTCCAGTAGGACCAGTGGGGGACTTACAATTGGCACAAAGAGTAAATGTCATGTTCCAGTTATACCAGTAGGTGAAATGGTCTTATGAGATAATGTAAATATGTTTATAAATAGTATCACAATCTTAAGGAAATCATTCATTATGACACTTATATTTGAGGTATTTAATCATGATTGAATGTACCAGTAAATCTGTAACCTATGACCTGATACCATTTTGTTATGGGAGAATCAATCGCACAAATAAACTTATAAAATCAGTTTTCTGATTGTCATTACTTCACAAGATCTGAGGAATCTTCTTGTCTGGAATTTTTAAATGCACCGTTCACACCTGGAATAGAGCTAATCTGCATACATATATCGTTAAGCCAAGGTAGGCATATCGGCAGAAAAATCACGTTGTCATACTTAGTTTACACAGATGAACACAACTTCAGCCTTTGTCGAATCAACTCTATTCCATTGAGCACAAAAATTTGGCACATCCCAATATCAATACCCAACAAGAGTTTATATTTCCTGTAGGACCAGGAATGTGGTATTTATATCCCAGTATCAATACCCGAGAGTATTTCACATTGCACATCACACAGCACAAAACCCAATCACTGTACCAATACACAATGGCTTTGTTCTCCACTTCGGTCTTTTATCTGGATCACAACATGAATTTGTTTAGGGTCCATGTAACAACTTGCAAAGTACTTATCTCTTAGACGATTGCTTCATTCTCTGGCCATGTCCCCGGCTCGATGCTATATCCTATCTAGCACCAATGCTGTGATAATATGCATGGCATCGACACGCAGAAACAGTGTTCAGGATGCTGTTAAGTTTCCATTGATTGGTTTAAATAGGTCACACAGGCCCATGGTGTGAGGTTCAACTTCATCCACAGAAGGTTGTTTAGATCTGATTGTATATATAGGAGGGAGATTTTTGTACTGTGCCTCTCGCTTAAACTGCTGGCCCACACTTTTCTGCAAGAGATTGTATAATACATGTCAGTAAAACTGTTTCTGATCAGTTAACCTTTTTGATATCAAGACTTTTCTCGAAAGGGAATTTATAAAAATAAAAGTTTCACTTAAAAATCTGATATATGACAGGGAGATGTACCCTGGAATTCTATAACTGGTCAGACAAGACAGGGAACCAGTTTACACAACTTTAGGTATATACCACACAAACTGATGAAATAAGAAGATCCTATTGAGTTTTTTCTTTATCATACAGGTATTGCATACCAAGTGAATTTTAGTTGTTGTTGAAGCATTATTGCTAAAAACAATAACAATCATAGGCAAAGCGCAGATACTGTCATCCCACCAGTTACAGTAAATTATCATTGTCCAGACAGATACTGTCATCCCACCAGTTACAGTAAATAATCATTGTCCAGACAGATAATATTTTCATGTCTTTCTCTTTTGACAAATTTCATATATTAGAATAATAAGGTTTGAAGTAACTCCAGTCTAAATATCAGCACAATCAGCAGATCAATTGTTGAAAGGGAAAGGTGTGAAATTATGTCATTCAGAGAGACACTGGTTGTACATGAGAACTGATAGATCCCACTACTTACAAAAATTATTAACAAACACAACCAAACAGGAAAACAAATATTTTAATTTAACAAAACTTACCCCAATGATATCAGCTACCAACTTCTTAAAGAGATCTTTCTTCTTTTTGTCTGGGATTTGCTTTTGTGGACTTGATTGTAATATTTTTTCATCAAAGGCCTGAAAAATATACATAATTGTATCAAACGTAGAATATACATTAGAAATAACCCTGCAGCTAGGCTCTTACTTGTACAGTGTACGTAACATTGTTTTATGAAAATTGATTTAACCTAGCAACAATATCATTCTTTTTATAGTTATGCAAACCAAATAACACAAGAACTTTACAAAAGGACTGTCTTATGATATGGTGGTATATTATCCATAACCTTGATTAGATAGAGCAATGTAATCTCACCAACACCATTACAGGCTTTACATGTATACTCATCTAAGTCATTACAGGTATACTCATCTAAGTCATTACAGGTATACCCATCTAAGTCATTACAGGTATGCTCATCTTAGTCATTACAGGTATACCCATTAAGTCATTACAGGTATACTCATCTAAGTCATTACAGGTATACTCATCTAAGTCATTACAGGTATACTCATCTAAGTCATTACAGGTATACTCATCTAAGTCATTACAGGTATACTCATCTAAGTCATTACAGGTATACTCATCTAAGTCATTACAGGTATACCCATCTAAGTCATTACATGAATACTCATCTAAGTCATTAAAAGTATACTCATCTAAGTCATTACAGGTATACTCATCTAAGTCATTACAGGTATACTCATCTAAGTCATTACAGGTATACTCAACTGAGTCATTATATGTATACACAACTAATTAAGTAAGTGCAGGTACACTAAATCGAGTCATTACAGGTATACTCAAAGAGTCATTACAAGTAAACTCAAATGAGTCGTTACTGTTTTACCCATCTAACCAAGTCATCATCGGTATACTTAAGCGTACTGGGTTTGTAAAATGCTTGAGTTAAATATGACCAATAGAAAAAATAAAATCCACTAGTCTGGACACCAGTAACACTAACCTTGACAGCTTCCACTGAGCAGTTGGGGACTTGTAGCAAGATGTTGGCCAGGTTTGGAAAATGTGGTCTCTGCAACACACAAATCACATCAGTTAGTATTTCATATAGTAATTCCTTGGGCTATGATTTGTTAACTCTCGGATTTTTTGGTATGTGATCTTCCTTGACTTTGGATTGCTATACTTGATGATGGGCACTATTAGTTAGCAGGAAATATTACTTTCATTTTGCTCTTGTCCGCTATGGCATCAACAACCAGCTTCAGAACAAAAAATCTGCTTCATTTGCAGAGGCACAACAAAGTGCAAAGATAATGAGGGCAACAATTCACTATAAATGTAAGATGTTTCTAATAGGAGTAAATACTTCAAGATCATACATCTGTATGTCCAATAGAAATAAACACATACCAGGAGATCATACATCTGTGCCCCTAACAGTGGTAAACACATACTAGGAGCTCATACATCTGTGCCCCTAACAGTACTAAACACATACCAGGAGATCATAAATCTGTGCCCCTAACAGTAGTAAACAAATACCAGGAGATCATACATCTGTACACCTAACAGAAATAAACACATACCAGGAGATCATAAATCTGTGCCCCTAACAGTAGTAAACACATGCCAGGAGAGCATACATCTGTGCCCCCAACAGTAGTAAACACATACCAGGAGACCATACATCTCTGCCCCTACCAGTAGTAAACACATACCAGGAGATTATACATATGTGCCCCTAACAGTAGTAAACAAATACCAGGAGATCATACATCTGTGTCCCTAACAGAAGTAAACACATACCAGGAGATCATAAATCTGTGCCCCTAACAGTAGTAAACACATGCCAGGAGAGCATACATCTGTGCCCCCAACAGTAGTAAACACATACCAGGAGACCATACATCTCTGCCCCTACCAGTAGTAAACACATACCAGGAGATTATACATATGTGCCCCTAACAGTAGTAAACACATGCCAGGAGAGCATACATCTGTGCCCCTATCAGTAGTAAACACATACCAGGAGACCATACATCTCTGCCCCTACCAGTAGTAAACACATACCAGGAGACCATACATCTCTGCCCCTACCAGTAGTAAACACATACCAGGAGAGCATACATCTGTGCCCCCAACAGTAGTAAACACATACCAGGAGACCATACATCTCTGCCCCTACCAGTAGTAAACACATACCAGGAGATTATACATATGTGCCCCTAACAGTAGTAAACAAATACCAGGAGATCATACATCTGTACCCCTATCAGTAGTAAACACATACCAGGAGACCATACATCTCTGCCCCTACCAGTAGTAAACACATACCAGGAGACCATACATCTCTGCCCCTACCAGTAGTAAACACATACCAGGAGATCCTACATCTGTGCCCCTAACAGAAGTAAACACATACCAGGAGATCATACATCTGTGCTCCTAACAGAAGTAAATCATTCTGAGCTGCCTCATGCTGACCATGAGCCTGGAGTCCAAACAGCACAGCACAGAAAAATACGTTGACTGCCTCTGGTACCAATTTACTGTCCGTCAACAACTGTAACATCAAAATATTTCAAAAGTATTAGACATTTCAACAGGACTGGGTGATATCACATGCTTTCTGTACGGTCAGTTTGTTAATTCTCAAAGGAGTAAAGTGTTGCTCAATGATAATGTCATTAGATCTACACAAGATCAGGAGAGACTTTTCTTATTGCAATAGAATACAGTAGAACCTCAATATAATGCCCCTCATTTCATACTGCCAATATCTTTTAATGTCTCTTTTTCTTGGTTTCTTAAGAATTCATTTACCAATATACATTTCCGACAATTTATTGCCAAACCCCTTTATAACGTCTAAATTTCTTTGGACAAATGGTGCCAGTATAATGAGGTTTTACTGAAGGAAGGTTTCAAGATAATGGCATCTGTCGTTACCTACAAATAACTGGAGCACTGTTTCTGACATCCAAGACTGTTGTTGTTTGATGATTATTATCGCTTATAATGTATCAAAAGTTTTCACTAAGAAAATTATCAGTAAAGTTTAAGAAATTGTTCTGCTTATTAAAAATATCAGAATCTAACACTATAGAATACTGAAGTGTATATTCCAATGTACCTCCATCTAATATCCCCGTAATGTTATACACAAAAGCGCAAACAAACAAAATACAAAATATTGCATAATATTTGTAATACACAAAAAATGGACTAGACTGGCGCAGAACACAAGATATGTAACAATGGGGTATTATTTGTGGCGATGATCAGACATTGTAGGGAGCAGTTGTCACACTGATTAACAATAACTAACATTTCAACAGGTGTTGCTCAGCAGCCGAATAGAAAATAGAAAGTGATGACATCCAGTGGGTGTACATACCTGTTTAATGGCCAGCCAACACACAGTGGTCGCCCGCAGTACCATGGTGGAGTCGTTCCAGGACAGTGAGTTAAACACATACATTACTATAGATGGGTACACTTCCTGTCAACAGAAGAGGTCGCTAGTGAAAGTATCCACTTAGATCTTACCAGCCTAAACAGTTACAATATTAACACTTGGTTCAGACAATGACAAAAATTAAATGAGATGAAAATGTCTCAGTCAATCAAAGGGCAGGATGGCCATCTCTAATTTTCAATTGACCCCAAAATAACAAGCAAATTTGTAGAATTGGTATTCCCTGCTTGAATAACATGCTATAGTAAGTCCAATATTGTTGCAGTTTATTGTAAATAAACTTAGCCTAAGTCTTGACAAAATGCAGGTGCACACCGAATTTTGTCAATATGGATGATGTACATACTTAATTACCTTGACATAAAATCCTTTTAAGGGCAGTTGCTAAACAAAAACCAATAAACTAAATCATTCTAGATTATGCACACATAACAATGGCAATTAAACTTCGCCCTAGATTTACAGATATGTATGCTTATATATCAAATTTGATTGAAATCCAACCACTTCTAGGGCAGTTATTGTATGGAAACCAAATTGAGAAACTTAATTGACGATTAAGTATCCACTCATCATATTAGTGGCCCAACTTTTATGTACATATGGTATTGGGTTAAAATCAAATCAAACCATTATAAGGGGGAGTTACTGAATGGAAACCATAAACCAATCAGAATTTGGTAGCTTTGTTAATTATGTGTAAATATGCACACATCACATTGGTGACACAACTAAGTCTGAGACATGCTATTAGTTTAATTATGTTTATATACTGAATTTGGTTGAAATCATTTTAGAGCAGTTATTGCACAGAAACCAATTAACCAATCAGAACTAGGAAGCCTCAATAACAGCCAATATAGTAAATATGCAGGCACCACACTGTGGATCAAACTTAGTCTGACAATTGACATTATGTATGTGCATACTGAATAATAAGGTTAAAATTGGCCCTTTTTGGGAGTTATTGCATAAGAAACCAAAGCTTGACAAATGGACAAACACACTCTTCATCTGTACAACATTGAATCCCCATATAATTGGCCTAGAAATGCTTTATACCAAATTTTGCTGAAATATCAAAAACAAATTAAATGTCTAAAATAGATATCTTGGCCCAAACAGAAGAAAACCTTACCTCATTTTTCATACACAGAAGGCCGAGTTCACTGAGACAGGTTTCTTTGGGTTGTTGTTGGTTCGATGGATTGTCTGGGGGCGTGACTTCCTCATCCATTATCTGGTCTTCTGCTGTGTTCTCCAAGTTTGAGGGGCGTGACCGGCAGATGGTAACTATCACAAAAACAAACTTCTACTGACACATAAACTGTCTTCACATCCCTACAACCAATCATGTAGGGTATTTTATTTGAAAACAGCTTGAAAAAGTGTCAATTATTTTGTAAGTTAATCTATATTTTATGTCCTTATAGTGCTTATATTTCACTAAAACATTCAGATATCTGACCACACCTACCAAGCAGGTCAACATATTCCCTGGACAGCTGGCGAGTCAATTGGTCATCCAGCACCTCCTGGGACTCTGGATTTTCATCTTCAGCTTCCGTTTTACCATCCTCTGTCTGGTGACTGGTAACAGATGTAAATAGGTGTCAGGTGTGAATTGAAGGTGTGTACTGGTGTGTTGTGTAGTGTTATGTTGTGTACAGGTATGTTGTGTACAGGTGTGTTGTGTACAGGTGTGTTGTGTACAGGTGTGTTGTGTATAGGTGTGTTGTGTACAGGTGTGTTGTGTAGTTACGTTGTGTACAGGTGTGTTGTGTACAATTATGTTATATACAGGTGTGTTGTGTACACTAATAGAGTGCACAGGTGTGTTGTGTACAGTTACTTTGTGTACAGGTATGTTGTGTACAGGAGTGTTATGTACACTTATGTTGTATACTGGTGTGTGGTGTACAATTATGTTGTGTACTGGTGTGTTGTGTACAATTATATTGTGTACAGGTGTGTTGTGTACTATCACATTGTGTACAGGTGTGTTGTGTACAATTACATTGTGTACAGGTGTGTTGTGTACTATCACATTATGTACAGGTGTGTTGTGTACAATTACATTGTGTGTATGTGTGTTGTGTACAGGTATGTTGTGTACAGGTGTCTTGTGTACTGGTATGTTGGGAACTGGTATGCAACAGGTATGTACAGATCACATGTACATAATTTAGCCAGATACGCACATATAAAGAGTTAAATTTACAATCTGCATCACATGTGACTCAATTTAATTACATGAACATGTACGTTTTTTAGCTCTCTAATTTGAAACTGTCTGTTTCTCTGATTTACACATCATCAAATACACACACACACATCCTACCTGTTTCTTTGGTTTATTACCGCCCACTTGGCACTCAATCGCTGGAAAATATAATTTAATTGTCAATTAGTCAACTCCGATTGATGTCTTACAGATTAAATTCAATGAAGTCAAACCCTTTTTTCTAACCTTTTATTCCTGGTAATCTAATGCTTCTTATATGATCTATTGATCACTATACCTAGTCATAATGATACTGACAAATAAAACCTAGTCACCATGGATAATGAATGATGTGATCTGGTAACCATGGATACTGACTGATATATTCTGGTCACCATGGAAACTGACTGACTATAGCTAGTCATCATGATACTGACAAATAAGACCTAGTCACCATGGATACTGAATGTTGTGATCTGGTTATATATATAAATTACCACTGACACTATATGATAAGACCAAGTCACCATAGATACTAATGAATTTAACTTTGTTACCTTAGATACTGACCTGGTAGATGTAGGGACATAGGAATGCCAGCAGTGGTATAACGGCTGTTTCATAGCACATCCTGGGACAATTCTGTACAAAGGGCTTCATGAATACACGTGGCATCAGTCAAGGACAAAAGATACTAGAGATGACACATGAATCAGAATTTGTTGTTGTTGTTGACTGAATCTTTACATAAATCTGGATTTAAGTGTATAAGTCCAAATGGTATAAACCTCCTTAATTTTTAATCCTGAAAAATTATCGATTCAAATTGCATATAAATTATGGTACAGTAAAACTAAGATGAGTCTAATCGTTACCCATTTTACACTGGTACTCTTCCTACTCAAACAGATGATCTGGTCTGATCATCATAGCTGTACATCTGTATGGGTAAACTGTTTGCCTGAACTTGACAGCTTTAAATGTTCTGTAGATTATGTCTACAATACAACAAGTATTGTTATGAAATCCCCAACAGATAGAAAGTGTTAAAGGATATGTATCATGGGTTTGACTCTGTAGTCGGGCAGGAGGTCCAGGTTGGTGAAGATAGTGCTGAGGAGAGACTGGGTGAGATTGGGGATGGTGTAAAACTCCTGTCCCAGACACGGGCCAGCATTTCCCAGGATGTGACAACTGCAACCAAAAGTCACACCATGTAGTATTCCAATACAAAGGTTAGAGGATAATAGGCTTGGGTATTGTCATTAAATTTACTGAGTGGTGATATAAGATCTTATCGTGTGCCATTAGATTTACTGAGTGTTGCTATAAGATCTTATCGTATGCCATTAGATTTACTGAGTGTTGCTGTAAGATCTAATCGTGTGCCATTAGATTTGACTGAGTGGTGCTATAAGATCTTATTGTGTGCCATTAGATTTATTGAGTGTTGCTATAAGATCTTATCGTGTGCCATTATATTTACTGAGTGTTGCTATAAGATCTTATCGTGTGTCATTAGATTTGACTGAGTGTTATTATAAGATCTTATCGTGTGTCATTAGATTTACTGAGTGTTGCTATAAGATCTTATCGTGTGCCATTAGATTTACTGAGTGGTGCTATAAGATCTTATCGTGTGCCATTAGATTTACAGAGTGTTGCTATAAGATCTTATCGTGTGCCATTAGATTTCCTGAGTGGTGCTATAAGATCTTATCGTGTGCCATTATAATTACTGAGTGTTGCTATAAGATCTTATTGTGTGCCATTAGATTTACTGAGTGTTGCTATAAGATCTTATCGTGTGCCATTAGATTTACAGAGTGTTGCTATAAGATCTTATCGTGTGCCATTAGATTAACTGAGTGTTGATATAAGATCTTATCGTGTGTCATTAGATTTGACTGAGTGTTATTATAAGATCTTATTGTGTGTCATTAGATTTACTGAGTGTTGCTATAAGATCTTATTGTGTGCCATTAGATTTGACTGTGTATTGCTAGATCTAACCGTTTTTTTAAGATATTACTGATGTTAGATTTCTTTTTGTGTTATCTTACTGAGTTATCAGATTTATGTGTCATTTTATCTTACTGTGTGTCATAGATCTTCCTGTATTTTATTGGATTATAGATCTTACCATGTGTCGTAAGTGGTACAATAAATCTTACCATGTGTCGTGAGTGTGTCGTGAGTGGTACAATAGATCTTACCATGTGTCGTGAGTGGTACAATAGATCTTACCATGTGTTGTAAGTGGTACAATAGATCTTGCCATGTGTCGTGAGTGGTACAATAGATCTTAACATGTGTCGTGAGTGGTACAATAGATCTTACCATGTGTCGTGAGTGGTACAATAGATCTTACCAGGTGTAGTGAGTGGTACAATAAATCTTAACATGTGTCGTGAGTGGTACAATAGATCTTAACATGTGTCGTGAGTGGTACAAGAGATCTTAACATGTGTCGTGAGTTGTACAATAGATCTTACCATGTGTTGTAAGTGGTTCAATAGATCTTACCATGTGTCATGAGTGGGGCGTGAGTGGTACAATAGATCTTTCCATGTGTCGTGAGTGGTACACTGTGTGTCATAGATCTTCCTGTATTTTATTGGATTATAGATCTTACCATGTGTCGTAAGTGGTACAATAAATCTTACCATGTGTCGCGAGTGTGTCGTGAGTGGTACACTAGATCTTACCATGTGTCATGAGTGGGGCGTGAGTGGTACAATAGATCTTAACATGAGGTGTAGTGAGTGGTACAATACATCTTAACATGTGTCGTGAGTTGTACAATAGATCTTACCATGTATCGTGAGTGGTACAATAAATCTTAACATGTGTCGTGAAAGGTACAATAAATCTTAACATGTGTCGTGAAAGGTACAATAAATCTTAACATGTGTCGTGAGTGGAACAATAGATCTTACCATGTGTAGTGAGTGGTTCAATAAATCTTACCATGTGTCGTGAGTAGTACAATAGATCTTATCATGTGTCGTGAGTGGTACAAGAGATCTTAACATGTGTCGTGAGTGGTACGATAGATCTTACCATGTGTCGTTAGTGGTAAAATAGATCTTACCATGTGTCGTGAATGGTACAATAGATCTTTCCATGTGTCGTGAGTGGTACACTAGATCTTATCATGTGTCGTGAGTGGGACAATAGATCTTACCATGTGTTGTAAGTGGCACAATAGATCTTGCCATGTGTTGTGAGTGGTAAAATAGATCTTCCCATGTGTTGTAAGTGGTACAATAGATCTTACCTTATGTGTCATTTTATCTTACTGTGTGTCATAGATCTTCCTGTATTTTATTGGATTATAGATCTTACCATGTGTCGTGAGTGGGTCGTGAGAGGTACAATAGATCTTACCATGTGTAGTGAGTGTGACGTGAGTGGTACAATAGATCTCCCATGGGTAGTGAGTGGTACAATAAATCTTACCATGTGTCGTGAGTAGTACAATAGATCTTATCATGTGTCGTGAGTGGTACAATAGATCTTACCATGTGTAGTGAGTGTGTCGTGAGTGGTACAATAGATCTTATCATGTGTCGTGAGTGGTACAATAGATCTTACCATGTGTCGTGAGTGGTACAATAGATCTTAGTGGTACAATAGATCTTGCCATGTGTCGTTAGTGGTACAATAGATCTTAACATGTGTCGTGAGTGGTGCAATAGATCTTACCATGTGTTGTAAGTGGGACAATAGATCTTGCCATGTGTCGTGAGTGTGTCGTGAGTGGTACAATAGATCTTAACATGTGTCGTGAGGGGGACAATAGATCTTACCATGTGTCGTGAGGGGTACAATAGATCTTACCAGTGTCGTGAGTGGTACAATAGATCTTAACATGTGTCGTGAGTGGTGCAATAGATCTTACCATGTGTTGTAAGTGGTACAATAGATCTTACCATGTGTCGTGAATGGTACAATAGATCTTACCATGTGTTGTAAGTGGGACAATAGATCTTGCCATGTGTCGTGAGTTGTACAAGTGAGTGGTAAATTAAATCTTAACATGTGTCGTGAGGCCATGTGTAGTGAGTGGTACAATAAATCTTACCATGTGTCGTGAGTGTGTCGTGAGTTGTACAATAGATCTTACCATGTGTCGTGAATGGTACAATAGATCTTACCATGTGTCGTGAGCGGTACAATAGATCTTACCATGTGTAGTGAGTGTGTCGTGAGTGGTACAATAGATCTTTCCATGTGTCGTGAGTGGTACAATAGATTCGTGAGTGTGTCGTGAGTGGTACAATATATCTTACCATGTGTTGTAATTGGTACAATAGATCTTACCATGTGTAGTGAGTGGTACAAGTGTCTTGAGTGGTACAATAGATCTTACCATTTGTCGTGAGTGGTACAATAGATCTTACCATGGGTCATGAGTGTGTCTTGAGTGGTACAATAGATCTTACCATTTGTCGTGAGTGGTACAATAGATCTTACCAGTGTCGTGAGTGGTACAATAGATCTTAACATGTGTCGTGAGTGGTGCAATAGATCTTACCATGTGTTGTAAGTGGTACAATAGATCTTACCATGTGTCTTGAGTGGTACAATAGATCTTACCATTTGTCGTGAGTGGTACAATAGATCTTACCAGTGTCGTGAGTGGTACAATAGATCTTAACATGTGTCGTGAGTGGTGCAATAGATCTTACCATGTGTTGTAAGTGGGACAATAGATCTTGCCATGTGTCGTGAGTGTGTCGTGAGTGGGACAATAGATCTAACCATGTGTCGTGAGTGGTACAATAGACTTACCATGTGGTTTAAGTGGTACAATAGATCTTGCCATGTGTCGTTAGTGGTACAATAGATCTTACCATGTGTATTGAGTGGTACAATAAATCTTACCATGTGTCGTGAGTAGTACAATAGATCTTACATAGATCTTACCATGTGTCGTGAGTGGTACAAGAGATCGTACCATGTGTCGTGAGTGGTACAATAGACTTACCATGTGGTTTAAGTGGTACAATAGATCTTGCCATGTGTCTTGAGTGGGACAATAGATCTTACCATGTGTCGTGAGCGGTACAATAGATCTTACCATGTGTAGTGAGTGGTACAAGTGTCTTGAGTGGTACAATAGATCTTACCATTTGTCGTGAGTGGTACAATAGATCTTACCAGGTGTAGTGAGTGGTAAATTAAATCTTAACATGTGTCGTGAGTGGTACAATAGATCTTAACATGTGTCGTGAGTGGTACAATAGATCTTACCATGTGTCGTGAGTGGTACAATAGATCTTACCATGTGTCGTGAGTGGTACAATAGATCTTACCATGTGTCGTGAGTGGTACAATAGATCTTACCATGTGTCGTGAGTGGTACAATAGATCTTACCATGTGTCGTGAGTGGTACAATAGATCTTACCATGTGTCGTGAGTGGTACAATAGATCTTACCATGTGTCGTGAGTGGTACAATAGATCTTACCATGTGTCGTGAGTGGTACAATAGATCTTACCATGTGTCGTGAGTGGTACAATAGATCTTACCATGTGTCGTGAGTGGTACAATAGATCTTACCATGTGTCGTGAGTGGTACAATAGATCTTACCATGTGTCGTGAGTGGTACAATAGATCTTACCATGTGTCGTGAGTGGTACAATAGATCTTACCATGTGTCGTGAGTGGTACAATAGATCTTACCATGTGTCGTGAGTGGTACAATAGATCTTACCATGTGTCGTGAGTGGTACAATAGATCTTACCATGTGTCGTGAGTGGTACAATAGATCTTACCATGTGTCGTGAGTGGTACAATAGATCCTACCATGTGTAGTGAGTGGTACAATAGATCTTACCATGTGTCGTGAGTGGTACAATAGATCTTACCATGTGTCGTGAGTGTGTCGTGAGTGGTACAATATATCTTACCATGTGTTGTGAGTGGTACAATAGATCTTACCATGTGTTGTAAGTGGTACAATAGATCTTGCCATGTGTCGTGAGTGGTACAATAGATCTTAACATGTGTCGTGAGTGGTACAATAGATCTTACCATGTGTCGTGAGTGGTACAATAGATCTTACCATGTGTCGTGAGTGGTACAATAGATCTTACCATGTGTCGTGAGTGGTACAAAGAAACAACTGCATCCTCTCTAGTGGCTGTCGACAGATGTAATTATTACTGTTGTCAACACATGGCGGAGGGATACCTTACACGAAACAAACAAACAAGCCATTATCTTAATGTGATTGGGGAAGGGAAATATCTGGTGTACAAAATAACACTGAAGCACATTTACAACATTTTCAAATGTAAAAATGTCTTTGATTTAAAAATAAACAAGAGATCCCAGAGGGATCTTGGCGCCCACCTTTGTACGATCTTCATTAGTTCTTTGTGAGTTCGATCTTTTCTCTTCTTTACTCTAATCTGTTTGATCGAGTCATGTTAACAGTAAATGCACCTTGAGGTTACTTTTGATCAAAACTTAATACTGATGTGTATGAAAGCCAACCTTCAAAGTGAGTTTGTCATTTCACATATTTACTAGTACAGTACTTAATGTGAAAGAAATAGAATCGATCATTGCAATATGAGAAAGATCTGTTTAGTTCTTCTTTTAATCCATTTTGTTTTTATGATCAGTCTCAAAATATAACATACACAACGAGGGATCAAGGGGAACCTACATTTAAAATTTGAGAAAGATCCCTCCCGTACTTCCCGAGAAATAGCGATAACAAACTTTCACTATCAAAATCCAAGATGGCTGCCTGTCGGCCATGTTGTTTATCCGATCAGTCTCTAAAATTGCCCTGCACAGCTAGGACCAAGGGGAACCTACATATAAAATTTAAGAAAGATCCCTCTAGTTCTTCCGGAGAAATAGCGGTAACAAACTTTCAATATCAAAACCAAAGATGGCTGCCTGTCGGCCATGTTGTTTATCCGATCAGTCTCAAAAAAATGCCCTGCACAGCTAAGGACCAAGGGGAACCTACATATAAAATTTGAGAAAGATCCCTCTAGTACTTCTTGAGAAATAGCGATAACAAACTTTCACTATCAAAATCCAAGATGGCTGCCTGTCGGCCATGTTGTTTATCCGATCAGTCTCAAAAGTTGCCCTGCACAGCTAAGGACCAAGGGGAACCTACATATAAAATTTGAGAAAGATCCCTCTGGTACTTCTTGAGAAATAGCGATAACAAACTTTCACTATCAAAATCCAAGATGGCTGCCTGTCGGCCATGTTGTTTATCCGATCAGTCTCAAAAGTTGCCCTGCACAGCTAAGGACCAAGGGGAACCTACATATAAAATTTGAGAAAGATCCCTCTGGTACTTCTTGAGAAATAGCGATAACAAACTTTCACTATCAAAATCCAAGATGGCTGCCTGTCGGCCATGTTGTTTATCCGATCAGTCTCAAAAGTTGCCCTGCACAGCTAAGGACCAAGGGGAACCTACATATAAAATTTGAGAAAGATCCCTCTGGTACTTCTTGAGAAATAGCGATAACAAACTTTCACTATCAAAATCCAAGATGGCTGCCTGTCGGCCATGTTGTTTATCCGATCAGTCTCAAAAGTTGCCCTGCACAGCTAAGGACCAAGGGGAACCTACATATAAAATTTGAGAAAGATCCCTCTGGTACTTCTTGAGAAATAGCGATAACAAACTTTCACTATCAAAATCCAAGATGGCTGCCTGTCGGCCATGTTGTTTATCCGATCAGTCTCAAAAGTTGCCCTGCACAGCTAAGGACCAAGGGGAACCTACATATAAAATTTGAGAAAGATCCCTCTGGTACTTCTTGAGAAATAGCGATAACAAACTTTCACTATCAAAATCCAAGATGGCTGCCTGTCGGCCATGTTGTTTATCCGATCAGTCTCAAAAGTTGCCCTGCACAGCTAAGGACCAAGGGGAACCTACATATAAAATTTGAGAAAGATCCCTCTGGTACTTCTTGAGAAATAGCGATAACAAACTTTCACTATCAAAATCCAAGATGGCTGCCTGTCGGCCATGTTGTTTATCCGATCAGTCTCAAAAGTTGCCCTGCACAGCTAAGGACCAAGGGGAACCTACATATAAAATTTGAGAAAGATCCCTCTGGTACTTCTTGAGAAATAGCGATAACAAACTTTCACTATCAAAATCCAAGATGGCTGCCTGTCGGCCATGTTGTTTATCCGATCAGTCTCAAAAGTTGCCCTGCACAGCTAAGGACCAAGGGGAACCTACATATAAAATTTGAGAAAGATCCCTCTGGTACTTCTTGAGAAATAGCGATAACAAACTTTCACTATCAAAATCCAAGATGGCTGCCTGTCGGCCATGTTGTTTATCCGATCAGTCTCAAAAGTTGCCCTGCACAGCTAAGGACCAAGGGGAACCTACATATAAAATTTGAGAAAGATCCCTCTGGTACTTCTTGAGAAATAGCGATAACAAACTTTCACTATCAAAATCCAAGATGGCTGCCTGTCGGCCATGTTGTTTATCCGATCAGTCTCAAAAGTTGCCCTGCACAGCTAAGGACCAAGGGGAACCTACATATAAAATTTGAGAAAGATCCCTCTGGTACTTCTCGAGAAATAGCGATAACAAACTTTCACTATCAAAATCCAAGATGGCTGCCTGTCGGCCATGTTGTTTATCCGATCAGTCTCAAAAGTTGCCCTGCACAGCTAAGGACCAAGGGGAACCTGCATATAAAATTTGAGAAAGATCCCTCTGGCACTTCTTGAGAAATACCGATAACAAGAATTGTTTATGGACGGACGACGGACGACGGACAACGGACGGACGACGGACCATGGACGCAGGGTGATTTGAATAGCCCACCATCAGATGATGGTGGGCTAAAAAGTTTAAGTTACAGCGTTTAATACCTATAAAATGTGCTGGAAATGTTAACTCACCTAGTACAGCTAATCTGTCAGTGTCCGACAAATCATAGGACTTGTCAAAAGCTGGATGTCGCAACTTTAGACATTCAGGCTGCCACTTGGAATTCATAGTCCTAGAACAAGGGGATGTTAAATCATTATAGTCCTAGAACAAGGGGATGTTAAATTATTATAGTTCTAGAACAAGGGGATGTTAAATTATTATAGTCCTAGAACAAGGGGATGTTAAATTATCATAGCCCTAGAACAATGGGATGTTAAATTATTATAGTCCTAGAACAATGGGATGTTAAATTATTATAGTCCTAGAACTATGGGATGTTACATTATTATAGTCCTAGAACAAGGGGAAGTTATCATGCTTTCTACATTGACTCTCTAACAGCAGAATTGTCTCTATATATGTCCCTAATGAGTAACACACAGTTTACCTATAATACAGCTGTTTATATGTGTAATTTGGGTCAAAACATTAAAGCAGGTATAATCAGAATGGCATTTTTACACTTCTATGTAATTATAATAGTACATCTACATTGATAAGTATGTGGTAATAAAATTTAACATACTTTTACATTAGAATTTAATTATAAATATACTTTTACACTAATGCATAATTACATAGATGAGTTAGTATCAAATTTGAGCATTTCCTAACAACAAAAATATCAATTAATATTTATAAGCAGTGAGAGTGATTTACTATAAGAGGATTTCATACTTTACGAGGGCTAGTAGATTCTCCAGCAGGACACTGATGTGTGTGGTGGCAGGGTTTCTCAGGGCAGTTGTCCCATCATCCATGACCCCAATCACAAACCCACTCTCACTGGCTACCTGTAACATATACCAAGATCTGGAGTTAAATCCCACCTCTACAAATATTTAATGATCTACTTGATAACTCCTCTTCTACACAATGACGCCTCCTTTAAGATTTAGAATTTGTCTAGGCATTAAGAATAAAAGTATAAGATAGACAGTAATTAGTGATATATAATTGTACCTGGTATTCGTAGCCTACTACATACAGTGACTGTTTTAAAATATATCAGTGTAGTATTAGATATTTCATGGGAAAATTATATTTTAAAAAAACTCACAGAAATATGAACATCTTACATCGTGTGAACAAATTGTATTGTAACTGTATGGTTCCATGTCTACATAGTATAGCGTAGTTAGTTTCACCCCAGATTATGCACTGACAATATCCAGGCAAAGTTGAGTGGAAAACGAAATACTTGCTCTGTACTTTCCATTCAATAACATGTAGAAATTACATGTAACTTTTTAGGTATGTTGCAAATTAGGAGTGAAAGTCTGCATTCTTAGATAGTTCAAAGGTTCAACTTTTACTCTATAAAATCAATCATATTATCTTCTTATCAATCATTCCACAGAAGATCCACAAATGACCTATTTGTAACAAAGTGTTAACATATATGTATGAGAATACATAAAATCACTGAGCAGTAACAAGATCTACTGATACACTTTAGCTATATACAGTACCCTAATACTCTGTACACAGCAACCCGAATCAGTCAATAGTGATAAAGCATATAGTGGAAGATACTTACTTAATGTCTATATATAGCATTACCTGGGATTTTTCCAATAAAGTCAGTCAATTTTATTTTTATTTTGTGTCAGCATTATGAAATGAACTCATCCTGGCTGTTCACCTCTGAGGTACTACCAGTATAATACAGGGCTGACAGTGTAAATTGTGATTTTTAATCATTCAAACCTACTGCTGCTTGAACTCTGATCTATCACAGCTACTGTTAACAGAACCAGAGGATAGCTGACTGTACCGTGTATTCTGATACCGTGTATTCTGATCTATCACAGCTACTGTTAACAGAACCAGAGAATAGCTGAACTGTACTGTGTATTCTGATCTATCACAGCTACTGTTAACAGAACCAGAGGATAGCTGACCTTCCTGTGTATTCTGATCTATCAAAGCTACTGTTAACAGAACCAGAGGATAGCTGACCTTACTGTGTATTCTGATCTATCACAGCTACTGTTAACATAACCAGAGAATAGCTGAACTGTACTGTGTATTCTGATCTATCACAGCTGACCGTACTGTGTATTCTGACCTATCACAGCTATTGTTAACAGAACCAGAGGATAGCTGACTGTACCATGTATTCTGATCTATCACAGCTACTGTTAACAGACCAGAGGATAGCTGAACTGTACTGTGTATTCTGATCTATCACAGCTGACCGTACTGTGTATTCTGATCTATCACAGCTACTGTTAACAGACCAGAGGATAGCTGACCGTACCGTGTATTCTGATCTATCACAGCTACTGCTAACAGAACCAGAGGATAGCTGACTGTACCATGTATTCTGATCTATCACAGCTACTATTAACAGACCAGCGGATAGCTGAACTGTACTGTGTATTCTGAACAAGCAAAGCTGACCGTACTGTGTATTCTGATCTATCACAGCTGACCGTACTGTGTATTCTGACCTATCACAGCTACTGTTAACAGAACCAGAGAATAGCTGAACTGTACTGTGTATTCCGATCTATCACAGCTACTGTTAACAGAGCCAGAGGATAGCTGACCGTACCGTGTATTCTGATCTATCAAAGCTACAGCTATCAGAACCAGAGGACATGTGAACTAAACTGGATTTATTCCTCATACTTAAAAAAATTTCTACAGTCCTAAATTTGTTTGAGAAAATTAAACCGTTTGTTATAATAAGTGAACAGACCTACTACAAGGAAATATCATCTGAAAATCAAGTTATTTAATCAGTATTTCTCACTACTGTAATCCTCTACAATACATTTAAAGCATCCATATCCCGAAGCAAAGCTGCCGAGGACCATGATCAACAGCGCCCAGACAGAGGCGGGGTACAGTACTGACTGTTACTTGACACCTGTGTTGTCTCTGAACATCAGTCTCCATGTTATACATCAGTTCTATCTGTCCCACACAGGAGGGCACAGCACACATCACACAACATCTATGGACCTGCTCCGAGGAAGATCACAGCATCATGCAGTTGAAACCCATGGCCCAATCAAAACTTATGTTAACCAAACAACAAACCTCTGTTTTTGTGTATAACGATGGAGCGAAATGTCATCATAGGCATGCCACAAAACATCACCATGTTCACAAGGGAAGGGAAAGTTGTCCTAACTTCAGCATCTACACAGCCTGGGAAGGTCACGAAGGCGAGGAAGTCTGTAGTAACTTCTCCAGTAAAACTGTCCCTGTGTCCAGTCACAGGGTACCTGGCCGTGGTGGACCAGGATGTGACAGGGGACAAGGGTAACTCCCACATCTTGGTCCTGAACCGAGACTTTCAAGTTGTGTTTCGTTATACACACTCAGAGGTGTCATATATCCACCATGTCCATTTGACCCCCGGGACTTAGTTTACGATCTCATGGGGAACAGTAATCTGTGATTACAGGAATCACAGCATCCACCTCCTTAGTGGGTGGGGACCTATGTCTGATCCACACGGACACTAGCGCAACACAGACAGTGGGTATATATATATAGACAGGGAGAATGTATTTTGGACAGTGTCTGGAGTGGATAAGGTAAACGCCTACAGTACAGCGAGGTGTGATAGTTCTACACACTTCAGGCTTTCAGTATCAACAGTCGAGAGCGTCAGAGGCTGACAAGGCCAAACACCTACAGTATAGTGAACTGACATCAGCAATGTCCTGTCCTCACAGGCAGTGTTTTAAGACAGTGAGAATGTACTGTGGACAAGATCTACTCCTACTGTACAAAGCCAGTGGTATTTATAACATGACAGCAGATAAATATACAATGATGTTGAGACTATTAACTCATTCATCCCTATATTTTTAAACTTGACTTGCATCTATTGTCTGTAAACACTGTACTTGGGACATTGCTATCAAGAAAGGGAAAGTTCATGATTTGAAAATTGAAATCATCCCACTTCTTATACAGCTTTAAAGTAAGCAGTCCCTGTTGGTCATGTTGTAAGTAAAGATCCAGAAAAGCGTCTGAAGTAGATGAGTCTGTGATGTCGTTGATTCAATCAAAGCAGGGTATACACAATCGATGTGGTCAACGAGTTTCTTGTTATTCAAAGACAACACATCGCCGATATATCTGAATGTGAAATTGAAGGACTTGGCTATGGTTTTGAAAAGGGATTTTACCAGTTAAGGGCAAAAGTTTTCCGGTATACAGTAAGCATTTTTTTACATGGATGTTCTTACACTTTGTACAAGTATCATCATATAAATGTGTTCATAAACATTAGTTCTTATACACATGCATCATTTTAAACAGTAATTTGTATACACAGATGTCACTTTACAGCTCCATATTGGGATCTTGATGACAAGTCAAGATCGCCTGAACTGCTAACTTGGATATTATATAGCAATCCTGATGAAGTCTCCTAGGGCAGGGCAGTCCCCTGAGCTAATCTTTTCAAACAAACATATGTATTATTATAATTTAGAAATCAGTTTCAGATCTAAGACCCAGGGGTTGGGGTAAAACCTTGGGCCTATCCTAAAACATGGTTATGTTCGACTCTTGGTAATTTTTGCAGATTTCTGGACCTACGAGTCTAGGACTCAGTATTTTTTTATTAAAAATTCAGTAAGTCCAAAACAAAAATGCTTGCATCTGTAATAACCTAAGATGTCCTTGCTTTTAGCATTATGACTAAATTTCCCATTTTTTCTCCAGGTTTCTCTGGTTTCCTCCCACATTAAGATCCCCAGCATGCTAACATCCGGGCCAACTAGAGTGTTTAATATAAGTTGTAATTGTTTAATATAAGTTGTAATTGTTTAATATAAGTTGTAATGACTTGTTTCATAACTGTTGTAAAATAAATAAAGTTTATATTTTTATACTAAGACCCAGGACAAACTTTTTGCCATGATTTCTTACATCTGACTTCCTTTACATCTGATTATATTCAAGCACTCTATAATTCAATCTCCCATCGTCTGTTGGCAGTAATAAGATCAAAAGGCCACCTCACCAAATATAAGGTAAGTTTGCTGACATTTTCCATGTTTAATCCAGTTTTTATTTCTTGAAACGTTTCGCCATCTTACAAAATCGTGAATAAATTATACTTTTGTCATACCGCTGTATATCACTAAATTTTCCTTTAAGATATGATATACTGTTCAAGAGAAAGGATCTGGAAATTAACATTTCCCTAAAATTTCAGCTTATTTATAGCCAACGTGACCTTGATCTTTGACCAAGTGACCCCAGAATCTATAGGCTTGTTCCCCTTCCCTTGGGGCATCATTCACCAAATTTTGTTTTGAGGATTAACAGTTTTTAAGTTTTCATGCGGAAAACATTTGTTTTGATGATGACGAGACACAGAGAGACAAGATGACAACAATATGCCCCCATACATTTTTTCTGGAAGCGTAACAAACAAGAGGTTAAAATGTGCATCCTAAAGTTAACCTTGTCCCATTTTAAATTCTTTGTTAGGATGTTGTAGAGGAGTGACTGCAATATTAAGTCTTGACAAATTAGACTTCAGAATTCCCACATAAAGAATAATTATACATGTGGTAAATGCCTACCTGTAGGTCTTCAGGCCATCTACTTCTCTTGAGCACGGCCAGGATAGTATTGATACAATACACCATCTGGACAACAGAAAGTTTTATTCAAATGTAATATGTGGATAGTTGGCATCACTACTTTAAACAAGTGAAGTGTTCTACATTAAACAAGATCCTGAAATTATTTAACATAATCTAGGACTATGAGGCTATCACTGGTTTCAGTAAGAGAACAATGGTCAAATCTATCCTAAAAACTTGACTTGCATTGATGTATGGTATTTTACACAGGATTTTTGCAAAAATATTAATAATCTCACTGTACATTTCTTTTCCTAAATATTAATTTCAGAATTAACGACTGCAATTATAACTCATGTGCTGATAACTGACCATTGATTGCAGCTCCCAAATACCAGAAAATAAGGATTTTCGACTGGCTTAAACCCCTTTTGCACATCTACATATCATAGTGTATCATCATATCATTTTTTTTAGATTTGTCTTTTTGGTTCCAAGATAAGGACATTACCCCAAAGGTCTATTTTTAGTAAAGGTGACCTTGACCTTGACTATAGAAACTTTTCAAACCCCTTTTACACATGTACATATAACAATATACCACAATGTCCAATTTCCAAAAGAATGGTCTTTTGAATTCTGAGATAAGTACCATACCCATTCCCAATCGTCTGTTTTAGGTAACAGTGACCTTTACCTTGACCTTTGAAACTTTTTAAACCTTTTTTTTTTTTTTTTTTACACATCTACATATTTCCATGTACCTGCATTATCAAATTTAATAAAAAATTGTCTTATGGATTCTTAGATTATCTCTAGAATTAAAAGCACCATGATTATAATAGGGCACCAGCATCTCAGATCCAGGGCCCTAATTATAATAACATGAGCATAATTTGTGCATGCATTCTTGTGTCATCCATTAAATCCACATTGCCAATGATGAAACAAATGTCTTTTTTTTTCCAAGTGAAACTTTTAGATGTACGCCATGATAAGATAGTGTATGTACTTAGGCCCCTGTTCTGTAACCTAGGGAAGCCAACTAATACACTTACATGTGATCTGTTGATGCCACAGGTGTCTGCTGAGGAAGGTTCGACCGGAGCCTGATCCAACCCAATGTACGACATAAACTTCACAGCAGACCAAAATGCTCTATAAAGTCAAAAATTGGAACTATTGATTGGCTGATTTAAAGGAGCTAGAGGTCCAGTATGATATTGAGGATGACATCTTTGCTGATCAAATATTCATCAAAACAAAACAAAATAGGTTACTTGGAAGAGCTATCCTCAAATGTGCTTATAAGAGGTTCTGAGTAAACATTTATTTTTACTAAAGCAACACAAATATTACATGTAGCTTATCCATGAAATTAGAAATGCATCGTCCAATTACAATAAATTTACTCCAAACTTTTAACACATAATTCTAACCTCCTCTTGAGCTTATTCAATAATTTTTTTTTTAAATAAAATTGTATTTGATATGATAAGTACACATACAGCTATGATCCCTGGCCATAACAGGACCTCTTGGTCCAACAAAACCTACAGATTCTGGCAAACTGTCAGGTACAATAGAATATACTTACTGCTTGAACTCTCCTGAAAGCCACAAATCTTTGACAGGCTTCAGGACTTCCTCTATAAATGATGACTGCTTGTTAAAATCATGGAATTTGTTACTGAAATAAAAACAGAAAGTAGGACACATGTTAATGTGATACAGTAGGCATGGTAATATAACATCAAAATTTTCTTATATATACTACATGTCAGTATATAAAAACTTTTTGTTTAACTTATAGCACGTCATACCTTTGAGTATGGCATTTTTGAGAGTTTGTGTATGTATTTAATAAGACTGTCTGAGGAGAGAAAAACCTATGAGAATGAGAAAAGTAGGACAAACATAATGTGATTAAGTAGACATGGTAACATAACAAAGATTTTCTAATACCAAATGTCAGTATATGAAAGCTTTCCCCATCTGTGTGAGTTGTTGAGTGTTGAGACTGATCACCTGTATGTGCCTGTATAACTTACCTTATGAGTATGAGTGCCTCAATGAGAATACATTTCTCCATCAGCTTTCCCCATCTGTGAGAGTTGTTGAGTGTTGAGACTGATCACCTGTATGTGAATGTATAACTTACTTTATGAGTATGAGTGCCTCTATGAGAATAGATTTCTCCATCTGTGAGAGTTGTTCAGTGTTGAGACTGATCAGCTGTATGTGGCTGTATAACTTACCTTATGAGTATGAGTGCCTCTATGAGAATACATTTCTCCATCTGTGAGAGTTGTTGAGTGTTGAGACTGATCAGCTGTATGTGACTGTATAACTTACCTTATGAGCATGAGTGCCTCAATGAGAATACATTTCTCCATCTGTGAGAGTTGTTGAGTGTTGAGGCTGATCAGCTGTATGTGACTGTATAACTTACCTTATGAGCATGAGTGCCTCAATGAGAATACATTTCTCCATCTGTGAGAATTGTTCAGTGTTGAGACTGATCACCTGTATGTGACTGTATAACTTACCATATGAGAATGAGTGCCTCAATGAGAATACATTTCTCCATCTGTGAGAATTGTTCAGTGTTGAGACTGATCCCCTGTATGTGGCTGTATAACTTACCTTATGAGTATGAGTGCCTCTATGAGAATACATTTCTCCATCTGTGAGAGTTGGTCTGTGTCACGGCTGATCACCTGTATGTGACTGTATAGCTTACCTTATGAGTATGAGTGCCTCTATGAGAATACATTTCTCCATCTGTGAGAGTTGTTCTGTGTCACGGCTGATCACCTGTATGTGGCTGTATAACTTACCTTATGAGTATGAGTGCCTCAATGAGAATACATTTCTCCATCTGTGAGAGTTGTTGAGTGTTGAGACTGATCACCTGTATGTGACTGTATAACTTACCTTATGAGTATGAGTGCCTCTATGAGAATACATTTCTCCATCTGTGAGAGTTGTTGAGTGTTGAGACTGATCACCTGTATGTGACTGTATAACTTACCTTATGAGTATGAGTGCCTCTATGAGAATACATTTCTCCATCTGTGAGAGTTGTTGAGTGTTGAGACTGATCACCTGTATGTGACTGTATAACTTACCTTATGAGTATGAGTGCCTCTATGAGAATACATTTCTCCATCTGTGAGAGTTGTTGAGTGTTGAGACTGATCACCTGTATGTGACTGTATAACTTACCTTATGAGTATGAGTGCCTCTATGAGAATACATTTCTCCATCTGTGAGAGTTGTTGAGTGTTGAGACTGATCACCTGTATGTGACTGTATAACTTACCTTATGAGTATGAGTGCCTCAATGAGAATACATTTCTCCATCTGTGAGAGTTGTTGAGTGTTGAGACTGATCACCTGTATGTGACTGTATAACTTACCTTATGAGTATGAGTGCCTCAATGAGAATACATTTCTCCATCTGTGAGAGTTGTTGAGTGTTGAGACTAAACACCTGTATGTGACTGTATAACTTACCTTATGAGAATGAGTGCCTCAATGAGAATACATTTCTCCATCTGTGAGAGTTGTTGAGTGTTGAGACTAAACACCTGTATGTGACTGTATAACTTACCTTATGAGGATGAGTGCCTCTATGAGAATACATTTCTCCATTTGGGAGAGTTGCTCTGTGTCACGGCTGATCACCTGTATGTGGCTGTATAGCTTGTCAAACACGGGCTGTTAATGCAAACACCAAATACATGTATACTACAACATCTGCATCACATTTACAACACTACATCAGAGAAAAATATTTACCTATGTAACAAGTAAACTAATTATTGTAAAGCCAACAGAGCTGGCAGAGTCACCAGCATTCAACTCCTGTACAGTAAAACTGCATCAAATAAGATTAAGTTTCTTACTGTAGTATAAGCTATTATAATGGGGAATCTTATGCAACTCTTTTCTCAAGTTACTGGAGATTCTCAATGTCAAAGTTGAGATAAATATGTTCAGACCCAAACTATTGACCATGTTTACTTATGTTTCTTACAAGAGGGTTCAAATATAGGCATTGAATTATTTCTACATCAGATTCTTTGGTAATTTCGTTTTATCCAAAACNTGATAACATAATACGTCCCCGTCTTCGACGGGCGTATAAAAAGGAGATTCTGAAGGTTTATAATCGAAATGAGATTCAGCATTGTGTAAAAAGTTAAGCAGACATACAAACAGAAGATCTGTGTACACTTTACAGATCTTGACCAGGATGGAGCAGGCATGCTGGCGGACATTCTTCACAGCTTTACTACGTGTAGATTTAGTCTGGCCAGGCAAGTTGAATGTCACAGCAGAAAATATCTGAAGGAGAAAATCACCAGTTCTTGCAATTTCATCAACATCACACCTTACATAAAAGCAGGCCAGGATTTTATTATTACTGAAAATACCCAGTCATTTGTACTTTTCTTTAGAATATCATTAAAATATATTGCAAAATGAATTTAGAACAGTTTTGAGGAATGAGCTAACAATGTAATTCCATGTTTGTCTGAAGAATATAAATAGGAAAATACTTATACAATGTCATGAACATTCAAAGTTCTATAACTGTACATTTACATTAATGTTTGATAAAATCTTCTACATTGATTAGACTCTCACCTTTTCAAGAACCATTGGCAGTTTGTCTGGTGCTCCATTCACAAATGGAAATAAAGCTGATATACAAGACAACAGTGATGACAGAATGAGGGGGTCCTACAACATACAGGTATTAAACAATGGCATACACTGTACAGCTCTGATTCTCCAACAGGTATTAAACAATGGCATACACTGTACAGCTCTGATTCTCCAACAGGTATTAAACAATGGCATACACTGTACAGCTCTGATTCTCCAACAGGTATTAAATAATGGCATACACTGTACAGCTCTGATTCTCCAACAGGTATTAAACAATGGTATACACTGTGCATGTACAGCTCTGATTCTCCAACAGGTATTAAACAATGGCATACACTGTACAGCTCTGATTCTCCAACAGGTATTAAATAATGGCATACACTGTACAGCTCTGATTCTCCAACAGGTATTAAACAATGGTATACACTGTGCATGTACAGCTCTGATTCTCCAACAGGTATTAAACAATGGCATACACTGTACAGCTCTGATTCTCCAACAGGTATTAAACAATGGCATACATTGTACAGCTCTGATTCTCCAACAGGTATTAAACAAAACAAAATACAGCTATGTTGATTTAAAAAAAATAAAAATTTCATCATATTCCAGGATATGCATTATAAGTTGACAAACAATGGTGTGTTTTAAAGTTCATCAGCCTAATACATTGTACTACAGATAAATCAGCAGACTTGACCATCTTGATGACTGCTACATTTGCTAACATGCTAATATGTCCTCGATGCAGGGAAACAGGAAGGTTTAAGGCTATAAAATAATGGTCAGACCTTTATTCTCAGAAACCTTTATTGTCAGAAGCATTTTTATAAAATTGTCCCACGAATCTCACCTCCGTTTTGAATTCAAGAACACTGCTAAGTAGACAGATACCCTCCTGCTGGTTGGGAGGAGGCTTAGCAGACAATACCCGGGACATCACACTTTCAAGGCATACTGTCATGGCATCCCAAGCAATAAAAGATGGAGAGGAAAGTCGACAGTACCCATTCTCCGACCCTAAAACATAGTTATAAATACACTTGAAAGACAACAGTTTTACCTCTATCACAAGTTTCATTGGTTTCTCCGGTACTTCAGGAGTGCTGTCATAGTTATTTTGACCTAATCCAAATTACAATACAGCTAGTATGTATTTCTGTGTCTGAATTTATAATAAATGATATAGAAAATTGATTGATTTTGTTAGGTACATGGTTCAAAGATTGTCTCACCTTCTCCCGTGTCTATAGGTTTCTGTAGGACACCCTGTAACCACAGACCAGCAAATGTGAAGGCCGTTTTAGGTTGAAGGACTGCTGCAAGCTTTAGTGTATCAGCTATTTCTGCTCGGTATTCTGTAAACAAACAGAAAACACTTTCATTTACAAGGTTTACTGTATTAACTATTTCAAAATTAGCTTTGTCAAATCCAAAACAGGAAGTCTGTTACTTCTGCCTTACGCAAACTTGATAATTTTTTCTATTGAAATTGAGCAACAAAAATAAAATAAATGTACTATGTAATGTATTCTGGCACAAGATAATGTTGCCTAAAAACATGTGAGACCTTATAAGGACATTTTACCCTCATAAAAATGTGTAATTAGGATATACAATGTACTAGGAATTAATAATGTCAGTTTCCAGTGTCCTGGACAAAGAGTGTTTTCTCCTATTTTATTGAATTTTTTAACAGTATTTATATTGCTTTCAAACAGATGTAGATTCCTTTTCAAATACAAACATGCTGGAAGTTGCAACAAATAATACTAGATCAAAAGCTATTTAAGAGCAGGAGAGCCTGCCTATTGAAGAATATTAAACTGTGCTGTAACCTTCAAAGAATGTCAAAATCAAATTCGTTAAAACAAACTTGATAAACCTCTTACCCATACAGGCTACAGGGAAAATATGACCCTAGACATCATGGTCAGTTAGAAGAATTTTTTTTCAAAGGTTTAACACATTTAACAACCTTTGATCTTGAAAGTAGGTATAAGTCATTAACTTAAACAAATTTGACAGCTTTCAACACCAGTATGTTACAGGCCAAATTATTCAGAAGAAGTTGTGTCATGGTTTTGACATATTTGACTCCTGTGACTTTGAAAGTGGGTCCAGATTATCCATTTGAAAACTTAAAAGCCCTAGCTATATCCTGGCACTTTGCTGGCCAAATATCTCATGAACCTCCGCCTCCTGGTTAACCAGAAAATAAGTTGATGGTGGACACTGGATATCCGGTACTGGATGCCATGCCATGGCATAAGCTCACCAGCCCAGTGAGCTAACCTGGATTTATTTTAGACTGCCATGCATCATTATTTGACCATGGGTACCTCCATTTCAAATGTTAGCATCCTAGTACAAATACCAAGTGTTAAATTAATGTCAACACTTAAACTAAAACTTTAACCTTGCAATATGCCAAAGGCCATGCTAAGATGACTACATGAGTGCCCATACACTGTATTATAAAAAAAAGGAGCTAACAATGAAAAACATTTAAAGAGCAGACATCTTTTACTTACGGTTTGATTACCAGGGAAATATGGTATGTTTACCTCAAGAGAGTTACTTACTGGAGAAAAATGTGGTGAACTCCTCATCACTATCATGGTCCAGCCTGGAGTACTTACAACTGGGCGAATTGTTCTGGGTTGGGAACCCAACCTACAATACCAGATCAGTCAAAGCTATACAACTAATATTGGAAATATACATCTAATCATTAAACTAAATTGAATAGTCATACAAATTATACATACAGACAAAATCATTAACAGGGTCATCATAAAAGTTAAATAAAAGGAAGTGTGGCAATAAGCATATTATATTAAGGCAGTTAAGTCTAGTTGTCCTTTTCCATATTTCTTTTTATTATTATTTTGCTTTTTCCAGATGTGTTCTACATAAGTTTATATCATCTGGCAATTATTCTGTCTTTCTATTCACATTTTTCCTATTAATCTCATTTTTACCAAAATTCCAGATATGAGCCAGAAAAGAGTTATTATATAGGTATGAAAGAGATAAATATTTTTACTCAATCGCCCCTGAAATTTCATAATGGAATATTCCAACCTTTGAATTGGAAGAGTTTAAATGTTTCTTCAAGGGTGAATGAGTTAAAACTGACAGTAAGATTTCCATATCTCTTTTACCATGTAGTCCTACCTTTTGTAATGTTTTGGTTGAGCTTTCAAACAGCCTGGGTATGAAGGATTGGAGTATTGGATCAGCACTGATTATCTCATGGCGTAGGAAACTTGACCAAAGGGATTGGGTAAAACAGCTGATCATCTGCAGAAAAACACATTCATAATTACTAGTTTATTCTGTAAAAACCTATCTAAACAATCTCTTTAACTTGTTGTTGAATTGTCTGGATAATGACCTAAATTTCAACATTAATTTGATTTTCACAAAAGTTTAAGGTTCATAAGGGCTTAATCAAAACTGCAACAGAAAAAGACACCTTTAAAACCAGTAACGTGTCTTACAAGGCTGGGCTATTTTGAGTATGTATCTGTGTATGTTGAGTGCCTGATTTACCAAGCTGGAATACTTTAAAAATGTGACTTATCTAACTGGGGAAAGTTGAACATGTGACTTACCTGACCTGGGCAATTTGAGAATGTAGCTTACCTAATTGTGGTATTTTGAGGACTTGACTTATTTCATTGGGGATTTTTTTTTACACATACCTGGATGGGGTGACTTGAGAAGGTAAGTTCACTGAATAGGGCACTTCGAGGATGTGACTAACTGACTGTGGCACTTTGAGGATGTGACTAACTGACTCTGGCACTTTGAGGATGTGATTTACATGACTGGGATACTTTGAGGATGTGACTAACCTGAATAGGGCACTTTGAGGATGTGACTCACATGACTGTGGCACTTTAAGGATGTGACGCACCTGACTGGGGTACTTTGAGGATGTGACTAACTGACTATGGCACTTTGAGGATGTGACTTACCTAACTAGGGTTTTTTGAAGATGTGACTTACCTGAATAGGGCACTTTGAGGATGCAACTTACCTGAATAGGCCACTTTGAGATTGTGAATTACCTGAATAGGGCACTTTGAGGGTGTGACTTTCCTGACTGTGGTATTTTGAGGAGGAAACTTGCCTGAATAAGGGCACTTTGAGGATGTGACTTACCTAACTAGGGTATTTTGAGGATGTGACTTGATTGACTTGGCTACTTGGAGGATATGACTTGCCTGAATAGGGCACTTTGAGGATGTGACTTACCTGAATAGGGTATTTTGAGGATGTGACTTGCTTGACTTGGCTACTTGGAGGATATGTCTTGCCTGAATTGGGCACTTTGAGGATGTGACTCACCAGATTGGGGAATTTTGAAGAGGCAACTTATATATCTTACTGGGGAACTTAGCTAATGTGACTTACCTAACAAGGGCGTTTTGAAGAAGTGACTCTCCTGACTGTGGTATTATGAGTACCTGATTTACCAACTTGGGGGACTTTAAGAATGTGACTTACCCAGCTGGGGAAATCTGAGGATGTGACTTAGCTGACTGTCATATTTGAGGACAAGATTTACCTAGCTGAGATTCTTTAAGGGTGTGACTTACATGACGGTGGTATATTGAGGACAATCAGACATGTCTTACCTGGCTGGGGTAATTTGTTAGGACCAGCAGAGCCTCAAGGTATTTCTCAAAGTTGGCTGGTTGTTCTACCTTTGGCAACTGACCCTAAAACAGACCAGTACTTGTTTAGTTGTAGGAGTATCACTCACATATTCATAATAATTAGTACAGAAATTTACATTACCCATGTAGTAAAGACATACATTTTTTATTAATAACCAAGTAAAATGGTCAATGCAAAAGGAGAACAAAATGTTTCGGCACCACTGATGACATTTGATTCTTTGTTTGGCGTTGTTGTTTTTTTTTGGTTTTTTGATCTTAACGACTTAAGAGTACTTTTTATACATTAAATTTGTTCCACTTCTATAATTAACCTTTACAAAGTACTGGTAGAAATACATTTGATCCAGAATCTAGATAAAGGAAGGCAAGTCTGTAACAGGTACAGCTGTTCTTACCCACATAGCACACAGCTGTTTACCCAGTTCTGTTAAAACCTGACATAGTCGCTTCAGGAACAAATAGTAGTACTCATTGTGAGAGGCTTGCTCGGCAGCCCTAGTGATACAGAGAAAAAAAAAGGATGACATGTTAAAATTTCCGATATTTTAAAAATTAATAAACTTAACGTGAAACTTAAGTAAAAGTAAACATTCAAATCATAGTCAGGTAAAAAAATAATCTTTAAAGTGCATTTTTCAAAAAGTGGCATACTCCTACAAATAAATCTTTAGGTCCATACAATAGTACAAGAGATGTTTCATTGTACGTACAGCTTGGCTTGTTCAATATGATGATAAAGGGCCACTTACAGTCACCACATCCATATAGTTTGACTGGTTGGACCTGAGTTGTTTGTGTATGACATTATATAGAGACAAACCTAGTTATCTGATACCGTAACTGCTTATAGAATCAAAAAAAGGGGAGAAGAGCCAACGCCTTGCCTGTTTAGGGTGATGTATCGGGTTAGTCGTCTATGCGTGGATACCTTAAGTATGCAGGGTGATTGCATATGATTTAGACATATGAACATAGAGGCGCAATCACAACACAGTTAAAGGTGCTTTATTTACAGGTAATCATATTTATACATGTCGGTCATTTTTTGCCCGGGAGAGGGCTTCGTCAGGACCTGACGAAAACCGACCGCATGTATAGATATGATTAACTGTAAATAAAGCACTGTTAACCGAGTATGTCAGGTTGTGTTGTGATAGCACTGCTATGTTCATTAAATTATGGACATATATATATATATTCGTTCACACATTCCACCAGGTCTCAGATGTGTGTACCGTATAGAGATGGTGTGTACAATGTAGAAATACAGTGTGTGCTGTGTATAGTTACAGGGTAGTGGTCCAGATGATTGACATGGCATCCTCACTAAACAGCACTAGGAGGGGTTTTCTATCTTCAACCTTGCCCTGTCACACAAAAAATAACTTTGGTTATATGTGTTTATTTTAACATAAAGCGAATCCCATAGTCATAATCAAAGTTTGGACATCTTTTTATTTTCAGGAACATTGGTTGTAGCTCATTTTATGTTAAATCATCGCTAAGCTGTCTATAAAACAGTTGAAACAAAATGAAAATGTCAGTGCTGTACAAAATAAAGCACTGGACAAAAACAGTACAACAACATTTCAATTAAAATGATTATTTCTTTAAAAAAATATATTTACTATGTGTTTACGTATTTTGCTGACCAAAATACACCCACCTTTCTGCTAACAATGATCAGTAGACACTCTGCTGCATAAAGTTGGAGATTGCTGTTGCTAAGTAACAGACAAAGAATCTGTAGCAGCAAGGCATTCTGGGAGAATATATGGTCCATGTTGATCCAGTCAAGGTAGCCAGCCAGAGTGGTCAGTAGAGCTTGACTGACTCGACAGTGCCACTGACTGACCAGTCGGGCCTCTGAGGTGTCCTCCTTCATCTACAATACAAGTCAAGGTCGCACAATGTACGGTAAATATTGTCAACCATAATATTTTTGCCAAGCTACATTTTTAACTTGCTTCTTTCAAAATATTTTTGCTCAAATTTTACTTTCCCATCCAATTACCGGTAAACATGACCTTAGATGTAGCAGAGATGTGAAACACATTTACTCACTGTAAGTATACGACAGATTTCAAAAATGTTTGATCCTCATACTGAAAATGATCTCTTAAAAGTTAATAAAAGTTAAACAAATGGTGAAAATTCAATACAAATACCTCAGGGTAAGATAATAAAATTGTATTTATGAAATGTTTCTTCCTCCAGTCTTCAGTATGAGTTTGTGGTTCCTTGCTTAACATTCAAATTTTGCATTTTAAGGGAAAGACCCTGAAGATCTTCCCTTGATTTAATTTGTATAAGGCATGAAAGTCATTGATTTCCAATTTTGGGTTTGATTCCTTAAAACAGTGATAGATACTCATGATGTAAGTTCATGCTTACCTCTACTGTGTGCTGTTGTAGAAGGGTGATAAACAGCTGAAACAAGTCACCCATGTTTGCTGTCAACCCCTGCATCACGCTGCGCCGACGTCCCGCAGGAATCGTCTGAAACACCACCACATCCTCCGCCAAACGAAGATAAGTCTTCAGGACCAGTTCTGTCTGAGTTGGCTACACAAAACCAGTAAATTATGAAAAGCTATATAAAACACATGGTTACATAATATACTTGAGATGGTATTTTTTGTTGAAATGAAGTATTAAGCCTTTCGTAGTTACAAGGAAATCAGACAGATATTGAGACATCAGCTGTGTAAACAAGTTTGTTATGCTCCAAATACACAAGGACAATTACTCTGTAATCATCAAATAATTATGTCTGATACATATACAAAATTTTGTATTCTTATGGTAAACTCTATAAAGTTTCAAATAAATTGTAAAGAAACCAAGGAAACAAAACACTTCAACTATACGTAGGGCAAATCTCATCAAAATGTCTGGTATACATGAAAAACTACAAACTACAGAATCTTTCAAATTAGATTTCATATTTAATGATCACAACAGAATGGTATACTTACTCCCATCAAACAAAGGTCATACAGGTCCTTGAGGAGTGAGGGCCAGTTTTGAGGCCACTCTCTTTTGATGAGTTCCACTGTGATCCTAGACACACCGTCCTTGATGTGATGTTCCTCCTCCAAAATGTTGGCTGTCCCCTGATAACAAAAACAGGAGAAAATGCAATGTATATTGAAGTGAAAACATGGCTCTTCCTTGAATATAGAAGTAGAAACAACTATGATTTAGATCACTGAAAAATTATAACTACCCCCTAAATGAAGAGATGGAACAGCTAGATTTTAGATCAGTAAGTATGGGTGTCCTCTTAATACAACAGAAGGAACAACTAAAATTTAATCTGTAGAAAAATGATGTGGAAGATGTATAATTATTAAACATTACATGTGCAATAAATTCCAGTGCATTTTTCTTCAGTACTTCCTTCTCATCCTGTGATAAGACTTGCCACCTAAACCTGTTGAAAAAAATAAAAAATATATCAATAGATTTAACACAGTATGCATAAATGCAGACCAAGTACCACAAATACTTGAAGAACATGTGGTGTCTTTCACATTCAAAGATGTTGACAAGAAGAAAATGAAACATATCAATATAATCTCAATTACAGGAAAGGGACTGCTTACACTGGGGACAAATGGTTGTTTTCGAAACAAACTAGTGATTAAACATTTGAAGAAAACAGAAGCGGTCATTATATACAGGTAACCACACAGTGAGAATATATTAAGGTAGTTAATAAAGACAGATGACTTCAATCAGGGATATAAGGTGGCAGTCATTACAGACAGGTAACCACACAGTGGGGATATATTAAGGTAGTTAATAAACACAGATGACTACAATTAGGGATTTAAGGTGGCAGTGATTACAGACAGGTAACCACACAGTGAGGATACATTAAGGTAGTTAATAAAGACAGATGACTACAATCAGGGATATAAGGTGGCAGTCACTACAGACAAGTAACCACACAGTGAGGATATATTAAGGTTGTTTATAAAGACAGATGACTACAATTAGAGATCTAAGATGGTAGTCACTATAGACAGGTAACTAAACATTTGAGGATACATGAGTCATTTTAGGCAGATCAATGTTAGGATATATGGTGGCAATCCCTATAAAGAGGTGACACTTGACTGCATACCGAGGATATTTGGTTGTGATCATGTTCACTATAGACAGGTAAATACACAATGAGTATACTTGATTGCCACTTAGGACAGGTAGCAACACATTGAGGATACATAATGGTGGTTACTAGTGCCAAGATGACTACATATTGGGGCTAACAGAGGGCACATTAAATATGAGAAATTTGAAGTGTATTTTGTACATATTTTTACATCTTACTTAATAGCATGTTCCAGCAACTGAAGTCCGAAGTGCCTTACGATCGAGGAGTTCTGTCTCTGGGACAGCGCTAGCCCACAGTTAATACATAATGGGGATGTCTCCTTGAACTCCTCACAAATCTGTAAACAAACATGTCTGTAGCGAACTAGACTACTCAGTAGTTTTCTTACATTTAGATTGTTGACATGTATACCTTTTTAGAAAGGATGTTTTTTAAATTAGAATAACAGTAGGTGAAATTCATCTTTATTGACACAAATGGAACATGAATCTTCAAACAATTAAATCTCCTTGTAATGGTATATGCATATACAAAAAAAAAACAGGGAAAATTTGCAAGATGGACCTAATTCCCAACTTTATAACACAATTAAGAATATAGTTATTTTGACACAAGATTTTGTGAACACAAGCTGAATACCTTCACGTATCAAGGATTCAGCGAACATTTTTCAACAAACCTTGAAAGCAATGCAAATATGTTCAACACACACCTACTTTTGTTTTTTATAAATCAACACCAATGCACTTCCAATTATTTTGATAAAAAAGAACATATCAGTTGACTTTTACATCATTATCTAATATACTTTCAAATGTTCAAAGACAACATAAACTCTTCATTTCCAAATGCATATCTATAAGTACATTGAGTACCCTGGCCAATGTCACTACTCAAAGTACGACTCACTGACAGTGACCACACATTTACCTTAATTCTTACTCAAGTCTGTCAAATAATCACAGGCTTCAGGGAATATCAGAGATATAGGTCAAGCTTGCCTAAATTTTCACACCTCTTTACATGATGTTACTAAACATTCTTTCGTTGATTTGTACTATAATTTAAATGGTGTTTTTTTGTACATTGACATTTCCGTCTTAAGGAAAACAGTTGCCTTTCAAGAGGGACAAGATAGGGGACAACTAGCCTTGGTCCAATGTCTGTTAACAGTAGGGGAAATAAGGGGTAAATATTTGGCCTTGAGAGTGATGATTTTTCTCGCATAGAGAAAGTTGACATGATTAGACATTATATTTAGTATTGTTGAAACCACATTACTGTCAGCTCTATTATACAGGTAGCAGCAGGTTAGCCTGTGTCAGGATAGTTGTGTTCTGCTATATAATTGCTGTTAATCTGTACAAAGTAAATGAACCTTTATTCCAGTTTACTAACTTTATTTAATGCAATTTGCCTCCATACAGCAAAAACTACCTCAGTTTGACAAGAGAGTGACGGAAAAAAAGGGTTTGTTCCAAACCATGAACTGCACAGTGTTCAAGTCAGGTATTTTATCTGTAACCTGTCTGAACTCAAATGGTCCCAACAATGACTAGATTTGCAGGAAAATTGAACTCTGCATACATTTCCATGTTAATTAGGTCTGTTTAAATTGAAAAGAAATATTGGTCCATGTTGTGCTTAGCCAAAACACACTGACCATGGATCCGGGTTGTTTCGCCCTAAATCCTAAAACCCTAGATTGTTTCGATCTAAAACAAAATTATTAGGGCAAAACATAGTTTGGTATTTTCTCAAATTTTAGTAGTTTTAAGTCACAATTAAAGTCTTCTTTGTCTTCCATATCATTAAAATCAATTTCATAAAAAGAAATGTGTTTGTGTTGTTTTTAAGTGAGTGTGACAAACAGCAGCTGTGAAAAGCTGACTCCTCACTAACACAGTTAAGCATTTTTCTACATGAAATATACCTAACAAAAATATAGAAAATTATCAATAAGTTTAGTTGTTATGTTTAAATATTGATTATTATAGCGTAAAAAATAAAAAATAAATAGGGCGAAACAAGCCTTAGCGCAAACAGGATTTAGGGTGAAACAACCTGTTACCCTGATTATCACCACATACCATATTATTGAATTTTAACGACAGAAGCCATTAGTCATGTAGCTTAGTAGCGATCAGCGACTACAGGTTTCTATCGTTAACTGTTTATGTTTGTTTATTAGATGGCATGTGGTGAAAACATTTCACATAAAATCAAAACACGATATCTGTCACTCCATGATCACTAAAGCACCTGTTTCTTTCATACGAGTAAAGCCTGTCATACAGGTTGGGCACAACGGCGCATATGAGTAATGATCCTGCATTTGGGCAACAGTTACCCATTTGCAGTAACAATTTTATTACTGAGAATGAGATGGGGAATAACGCCCTTTTTCACTCAAAGTGTTAAAAAGAACTTTGTGGTTTTATTTCACTTTATTCCCCATCTCAGTAATAAAATTGTTACTGCAACTGGGTAACTGTTCAGTGTTGTGCTCAACCTGTCGTATGGCATCTGTTGTTGGGTCGTATAGAACAGGGCAATTTACCTTGTGGGCCGCAAGTCTATCAATAGGATTAGCAGTTGGGTTCATTATCGTCTCCACTGCTGCAGTCAGCGTTGGAATTACTTGTGATAGGTCCATTTTCGCTTTTAATTCTGTATGTCACCACTTTTTATGTCCCATTTACACAGTTACCGGCATGTTCATAAGCACGCGTTCCCTGGAACAGTCTACCAATAAAAGGAAGTTGACCGAGAGTTATCGCCCTTCTTCGAACCAACTTCCTGCCATCGGTAGGCATCGGTAGCCATAGCACATGCAGGGATTCCCTACTGTACTGTCTTCACGCGAAGGTGTTTTACTGTCCATACTGTAAGCATGAACATGTTACATACAGAACAATTAATTTCCAATGTCAAGTTTTATTGTTTTCTTAGGTATTGGTCGTGATATCTCTATTTTCACTCATATATTGTTTCTCTGGAACCCGTCCTCCAGTACTCTAGATCTGTCACCGAAAACGAAAGTGCACAGTAGGGCCTACCCAATGACAGGTAGCTATATATAATAATATAGAGCATTTCAGTGGTCAACAACAGAACAAACATGTAGACTTGGTATAAATACCAGACTCGCATGAGTGGACTACATGAAGGAGAAAATACCAGACTCGCATGAGTGGACAACATGAAGGAGAATACCTGATAACACAGACAACATGTCACACCCTGTAAACAATAACACACAAATGACCCTACAACATTAACATTAACTCAGTCACAATGGAGTCGCCATGACATACTTTGTGTCAATGACATAGTATATGTCCTTATCGCACCTAATTTTAGGCTACTATCATGCAACTTTGGACAGTCTTTGAAGAGGGAAGAAGTTTTCAAGTTGGCTAAATAGCAACAGCAGGTCAATTTTCAGGAAACCATAGCTCTTGACTTATCCACCAATGTCTGTTTTTGACTTTTATGTAAGAACATAAATGTCTGTCTTTATATATTCTATACACATCCAGTTTTCATAAAGGTCTTGCACTACAAACCAGAAATGAGGTTGGGTTGGAGGGTATTATCAACGTTTTAGGTAGATCCTGTGAAAATGTCACACAAGGGTAGATCAACACTTAGTTACACATACCTTGATCAAGAATAGTTTATTTGTATGTAATATTAATAAGATTACATAGAGAAAGAGTTCTGTGGTATTGTAAAGCGGTAATTATAAACATGTGGACTTTACCCACAGACATAGGGTTAGCATCTCCGTAGGAAACAGATATACAGAAATAATCAACTTCCTTGTACATGCTATATGAGTCGGGGTTTGATACTGGAATGTGAATTTAGATTTGTATCACAAGCTCTGAACATGTGTTTTAAATATCCTCTTCTTTTTTTTTATTTTCCAGAAATGGTAATTGATAACACCAGTTATTCTACTGTCCCAAAGCTGTTACATTCAGACCTGATGGTAATATGGATCACAGGATAAAGTCATACCGGGGATTTTATCCCCACCACATGATACGTAAGGCCCAAAACACTCTGGCATACAGCATAAGGAATTCAAATAATCGTTTCATAAGACAAGTCCTGCAGAAATGTGGATTGACACCCTACTCATATGATGGCTCCCAATTCCATTATCAAAATATACCACAACCTCACAATGATTTATGGCATGATGATGCATTGAAGTACAAGTATACCTTCCCATGGTCTGAAGGATGCCATGCTAGTCATAATGACAAAGACTCTTACATATCAAGAGATTTTGCCCCACAGCAAGATGATGAGCCTGAGTTACCTGAATCGTCACAAATCCTTTATGACAATTTATGGTATGAGGACGCACTGGGATCTACAGATTATGGGTATTTAGATTTTACAGATTCAGAACCATCAGGGAGTTCTGCATCAGGTGGAAGTTATAGGAAGACAAAAGTCTCCAAAAATGATGGAAAATTATGTATGACAGTGACTTGTGATAGTTCTGACAAACAGTTCCCAGAGCTGAAGAAAAGAAAAACTACAGATGATTCTTTTCATGATTGTATAACAATTTCTGATACTGAGCAACAAGTAGACCTGACAAACGACAGTGATGAGCCGACAGTGGTTGAGAAGCCAAATGCAAGACAACGGGAAAACAAAACTTCCAAAAGAAAATATCCCAACAAAGAATCTGATGAAAAGATTCCCATTGAAACCAAAGGCAGTGGATCAGAACCACCTGATTCCAAGAAAAAACGAATTCAGTTCAGTCAAGGTCTGGTGTGTGACTATTGTGGTCATGTGGTGACCTATAAGTTAGATCATCACAATCGAAAGGCCGAAGACGAGATGAAGAGTCATTTCTTGAGGAATAAACATAACTCAGCAAGTTTAGCTAAGATTCAAATGTCAAATGAGAACACAGAAAAGGCTGTAACTATCCTCAAGGAAAGTATTCTCATCACTTCCACAGACAAACATGTTGCGCTCGTCAACCAGATCGTTCCGATGTGCCCCAAGAAGGGTTGTAACAAAGTACTTGGGACAATATGGGCATGTGCAAAACACTATGAGATGTGTCATGACCCTCATATCTCCAGTCGCTATGGATTGGCAAATGTTGTTGCCCTCAAAACAATTTTGTTCCCAGCTTTTAACACTTGCAGTACATGTAATTTTTCATGCTCTCGTGCCTCAAAATTGCACAAACATTGGAAAAGTACACAACATTTGAAAGGCTATTTACCAAGTTCGAAAGAACAAGTGGCCCTGTACTTCTGTCCCTACTGTACCCAACTCCACTACAACTTCTCTGGTTGCAGAACGCACATAATGACGAAGCATAAACCCAATGGAGATGCTTCAATGCAAGTGGTATTCATCAACTCTAACTCTGATCCTCTGGAACTGCTGCCCATAGAACCAAGACCTGCGGAGGCTCAAGGGAAACGTGAGCTGAATGTTTTGGTAAACATGCAAAAGGGTGCCAAAGTGTATGGTATTACTAAAGTATCCAAAAGAAAAATAAAAGCAGAAAAGAACCAATGTAAACAAAGATTCCATTATGAGGGGGAAGATTTTAAGAAAGACAAAGCCTATGCATACTTCAAAAGACGCTGTAATCGTGTGTAATGTATGCCATCAACAACACATAATTTTGTTTTGTTACAGAGAACTCTTTAAAACAGACAGTGAGACTTTGCTTCACGCAACGATAACTATGGTGACTATGCAGTTCTTCAATCACAACTATAACTACAGAGTTTTCATTTAAAAAAGGCTTAATCCATGAGATCACTTGTCATAGACACTGAAGGACCTATATTCATTGCTTATGCAATTACATGTACATGATACTGTACAGTATACTATGGGTAAATGTATTGAGACTTGTAATTGGAGAGAGAAATGTTTATTGTATTAAAAAGGGTTATGCTACTTGATATTGTTATTATAAGGAGGCCTTCAAAGAGAGAAATCTGTTGGTTCAGTTATAAGGGAAACATGTATTGTTCTTGTTATAATAGTGCATGTGACATTTCTTGATCTTGTTATTAGCTATATATAGGGAGTCATTAGTTGGTCCTTTTTTAATGTACATGTGCATATGGGAATTGAGTAGTTGGTCCTTTTGCAATTATAAGGAATATGTCAGTTAATCCTGTTAAAATGGTGATAATATACAAAAAAGTAAAAAAATTCATCATAGGAGATAGTAAGTGCTGTTATAAGGGAGATACTGTAAAATCTTAATTTTTTGTGGGACATTAAATTTAGTTTATTTTGTAGATAACAATAAATCCACGAAATTAAATCACCATGAAAACATAAATTTGGTATGATATAGATAGAGGAAAATCAGAAATCATCGAAATATAATGTCCTTGAAACAGGCTAGTTTATGAAAACCACGAAATTTTAACCCCTCGGAAATAAATGATTCGCCAGTACTAGTTTGATTTAACATCCAGTAGTTGGTCTTGTTATACGGTAATCAGTAATTAGTTATGTTAAAAAAGCATTTATTGGCCATGTCATAAGGCAGATGTTAGACATGTTGACCATTTCTCACCCTGTTATAAGGAGTTGCATGACCAAATATCAAATTACCTTTTTATAATTTCTTGTTTTGGGTGATGATGCTACATTTGATTATAAGACTTATTTTTATGTTAATACAGCTAAGTATTAAGGCCAGTTATAGGCTTAAAGATGGGTTCCTGTTATTTTTCAGTTTTTGAAGTATTATAGAGTTTTTGATTTTAGCTCACTTGGTCCGAAGGACCATGGTGAGTTTATGCCATACCGCAGCGTCCGTCGTCCGTCAACTTTACACTACTAGTCAGGAACCACAGACAGATTTTAAACAAAATTTGGTGTGAAGCATCCTTGGGTAGAGCCAATTTTGTATAAACAATAGGGGAAATATAGCAAATTATTCTTTAAAATCCTTCTTCTTCTGTAGGAATGAAAAGATTTGTTCCATATTTGGTCTGAAGCATCCTTGGGTGACGGGGATCCAATTTTGTATAAACCCTGGGTCTGGCCCCCCTGGGGCCTGAGGGGCAGGGCCCAATAGGGGAAACGTAGCAAATTATTCTTTAAAATCCTTGAAACAGGTATGTGGTTATTATTGAACTGGAGTGTTTGAAACAGGTATGTGGATATTGTTAATCTGGAGTGTGTGGTACAGGTATGTGGATATTGTTGAACCGGAGTTTGTGGAACAGGTATGTGGATATTGTTAATCTGGAGTGTGTGGAACAGGTATGTGGATATTGGTAATCTGGAGTGTGTGGAACAGGTATGTGGATATTGGTAATCTGGAGTGTGTGGAACAGGTATGTTGATATTGTTAAACTGGAGTGTGTGGAACAGGTATGTGGATATTGTTGAACTGGAGTGTGTGGAACAGGTATGTTAATATTGTTGAACTGGAGTGTTTGGAACAGGTATGTGGATATTGTTGAACTGGAGTGTGTGGAACAGGTATGTTAATATTATTGAACTGGAGTGTGTGAAACAGGTATGTTGATATTGTTGAACTGGTGTGTGTGGAACAGGTATGTTAATATTATTGAACTGGAGTGTGTGAAACAGGCATGTGGATATTGTTGAACTGGAGTGTGTGGAACTGGTATGTTGATATTGTTGAACTGGAGTGTGTGGAACAGGTATGTGGATATTGTTAATCTGGAGTGTGTGGTACAGGTATGTGGATATTGTTGAACCGGAGTTTGTGGAACAGGTATGTGGATATTGTTAATCTGGGGTGTGTGGAACAGGTATGTTAATATTATTGAACCGGAGTGTGTGAAACAGGTATGTTGATATTGTTCAACTGGAGTGTGTGGAACAGGTATTTGGACATTATTGAACTGGAGTGTGTGGAACAGGTATGTTGATATTGTTGAACTGGAGTGTGTGGAACAGGTATGCTGATATTGTTGAACTGGAGTGTGTGGAACAGGTATTTGGACATTATTGAACTGGAGTGTGTGAAACAGGTATGTTGATATTGTTGAACTGGAGTGTGTGGAACAGGTATTTGGATATTGTTGAACTGGAGTGTGTGGAACAGGTATTTGGACATTATTGAACTGGAGTGTGTGAAACAGGTATGTTGATATTGTTGAACTGGAGTGTGTGGAACAGGTATGTTAATATTGATGAACTGGAGTTTGTGGAACAGGTATGTTAATATTGTTGAACTGGAGTGTGTGAAACAGGTATGTTGATATTATTGAACTGGAGTGTGTCGAACAGGTATGTTAATATTATTGAACTGGAGTGTGTGAACCAGGTATGTTGATATTGTTGAACTGGAGTTTGTGGAACTGGTATGTTGATAATGTTGAACTGGAGTGGGGGGAACAGGTATGTTGATAATGTTGAACTGGAGTGGGGGGAACAGGTATGTTGATAATGTTGAAGTGGAGTGTGTGGAACAGGTATGTTGATAATGTTGAACTGGAGTTTTTATTTTATTGTGGATATTGTTGAACTGGTGTGTGTGGAACAGGTTTGTTAATATTATTGAACTGGAGTGTGTGAACCAGGTATGTTGATATTGTTGAACTGGTGAGTGTGGAACAGGGATGTTAATATTATTGAACTGGAGTGTGTGAACCAGGTATGTTGATATTGTTGAACTGGAGTTTGTGGAACTGGTATGTTGATAATGTTGAACTGGAGTTTTTATTTTATTGTGGATATTGTTGAACTGGTGTGTGTGGAACAGGTAAGTTGATATTGTTGAACTGGTGTGTGTGAAACAGGTATGTTGATATTATTGAACTGGAGTGTGTCGAACAGGTATGTTAATATTATTGAACTGGAGTTTGTGGAACAGGTATGTTAATATTGTTGAACTGGAGTTTTTGGAACAGGTATGTGGATATTGTTGAACTGGAGGGTGTGGAACAGGTATGTGGATATTGGTAATCTGGAGTGTGTGGAACAGGTATGTTAATATTGTTGAACTTGAGAGTTTGGAACAGGTATGAGGATATTGTTGAACTGGAGTGTGTGGAATAGGTATGTTAATATTGATGAACTGGAGTTTGTGGAACAGGTATGTTGATATTGTGGAACTGGTGTGTGTGGAACAGGTATGTTAATATTGTTGAACTGGAGTGTTTGGAACAGGTATGTGGATATTGTTGATCTGGAGTGTGTGGAACAGGTATTTGGTTATTATTGAACTGGAGTGTGTGTAACAGGTATGTTGATATTGTTGAACTGGAGTGTGTGGAACAGGTATGTTAATATTATTGAACTGAAGTTTGTGGAACAGGTATGTTGATATTGTGGAACTGGTGTGTGTGGAACAGGTATGTTGATATTGTGGAACTGGTGTGTGTGGAACAGGTAAGTTGATATTGTTGAACTGGTGTGTGTGGAACAGGTATGTTGATATTGTGGAACTGGTGTGTGTGGAACAGGTATGTTGATATTGTGGAACTGGTGTGTGTGGAACAGGTAATTGGACATTGTTGAACTGGAGTGTGTGGAACAGGTATGTGGATATTGGTAATCTGGAGTGTGTGGAACAGGTATGTTAATATTATTGAACTGGAGTTTGTGGAACAGGTATGTTGATATTGTTGAACTGGAGTTTGTGGAACTGGTATGTTGATAATGTTGAACTGGAGTTTTTATTTTATTGTGTAAGAAATTAATTATATATAATGTGTTGATTTTGTTGAGCTTTAGCGGTTATGAGTAGTTCACCTTTGAAATCCAAGGGTTCCATTGATATACATAATGTCCTCTACACCCTTGGAATATGTAGTGATAAAAATGAAGGCTTTTTGTATGGAACACCTTTCAGATGATACAAATTGACATGTCTGGAAAAGGTTACAAAGTCCTGCACACCTGTTTTCTCTGGTATAACATAAAAGGAATCGTTCGACAGCTGTTGTGAACATAACAGTAATACTGATTTCCATTGATTTTCAAATGTTTGAAAAGCTAACGTGAGCCTTCAATTTTGTCATGACACAATCCAAGGGCTCCGTGAATATGTGTGTATTGAAAGCATGACCCTTGGATTTCAAAGATTAAAGTTATGTATTGAGATTGTTGAAATCTATGTTTAAGACCAAGTAAATGTATTATGAAGAAATCGTTAAATATTTGTTAAATAGTATGGCTTAGCTGCTGAAACTGAGATGATCCATGTATTAATACTACGAGAATTTAAGAAGATGCATTTGTATATATATATATTCATGGGGGGGGGGGGGGGGGGGGAAAGAGTTTTTTGAAAAATTAAAAAAGGCATTTTTTTGTGGAATAAAAAGAAAATATAAAATAAAGTCTATGGTTAGATTTTTACAGCATTTATTAGACATGGACACGGACATAGATCTAATCAATTCTGTGACATGTCTGGGTTCCCATGAATATTCTGCAAAATGAGAGTTAGATTTCTGAATAAGACCCCAGAATCGGGAAACAATTAAGTCAAACATTTGATGGTTGCCTTAATTTTCACTTTTATATGAAAATGCAGATGTTCTATGTAATGTAACACAAGTTACAAAGGAGGAGTGAAGTCTTTCCTTTTTATTTAAAATTTAAATGAAATCTACAGGAGCTCATTATGATTATACAGAATTGTATATATATACACACTGACTGACCATTACCAAACTCTTTTATAGGTTAAAAAGCAAGTTGGTCCATTCACCTTCTAGATACATTACCTTTTACATAGGTTTTACATACAATGTCAAACACTTTATAAATGATAATACCACATTCATTGGTGAACAAGATATCTTAATTATCCCCTTGCAATGAAAGTTTGAGGAGATATAGGATCCCACCCGTACGCAAGTACATATGTATTTACGTATGTTACACTCTTTTTCATCGCTCTAGCGACTTCATTTCTCAACAGAATTTCATGAAGTTTCATACAAGTGTTTGATATGACAATACCTTTAACAAGTTAGCATTTCGGATAACTGCATTGAAGGTCAAGGTCACTGTTACTATTTGTAGAAAAACTTTGTCATCGCTCTAGCGACTGCATTCCTCAACAGAATATCATGAAACTTGATACAATTGTTTGCCATGACAATACCTTCAACAGATGCAGTCACTAGGACAGTTACTGTTACATCATTGATTTTTCTATTCATTTCAGGGGATTTGTATCACTTATTTTGCCGCCTTTTACAGTATGTGTAATGCCATTTCTGACCGAGTCAAGCTAGAACTATGTCAGGTTTCTGTTTCTTAAGCATTTTGAGTAGGATTTTTCCTTCAGTTACAGGATATTTGTGCTTTTGGGCAAGCATTG